CATACAGGGAGCCACGTTTGACTTACTTGCTGTGGATGCCTTCGAGCTTCATGAGCGTGGGTGGCCTTCGAGGGAAACTATCTTACCTCCAGGAATGCCCGAATCGGGAGAGTATCATTGGCGTGATGGAGGCGAAGCACATATCAATGATCCTGCTGGCATCGCAAATCTGCAAGATGCTGTTCGTGAGAAGAACCAAACCGCCTATGATGCTTACGCTCGTAATGCGAATGAGCAAACGAAGAGTGTTCATCTGCGTGGACTTCTTGACTTTCGCTATGAAAACGCCACCCCTATTCCCATCGAACAGGTCGAGCCTTGGAATGAAATTGTTCGCAGGTTCGTTACAGGTGCCATGTCATATGGGTCAATCTCCATGGAGGCCCACTCCACGCTTGCTGTCGCGATGAATCGTCTCGGCGGCAAGTCGAACACTGGTGAGGGTGGTGAGGATGCAGAGCGCTCTCATATGCTCCCAAATGGTGACACTATGCGTTCCGCTATCAAGCAAGTGGCATCTGGTCGTTTCGGCGTCACTGCCAATTACCTGGCGGATGCTGACGAGCTCCAAATCAAGATGGCTCAAGGTGCTAAGCCGGGCGAAGGCGGTGAACTTCCAGGACACAAAGTCTCTACTTCCATTGCTCGCACTCGTCATTCTACAGCCGGCGTTGGGCTTATCTCTCCCCCACCCCACCATGACATTTATTCCATCGAGGATCTGAAACAGCTCATATATGACTTGAAGTGCTCCAACCCCCGTGCGCGTGTCTCTGTCAAACTTGTCTCCGAGGTTGGCGTTGGCATTGTCGCGAGCGGTGTTGCAAAGGCAAAGGCGGATCACATCCTCATTTCGGGTCACGACGGTGGCACTGGTGCATCCCGCTGGACTGGTATAAAGTACGCCGGTCTGCCGTGGGAGCTTGGCCTCGCGGAGACGCACCAGACGCTTGTCTTGAACGACCTCCGTGGTCGTGTTACAGTCCAAACTGATGGCCAGATTCGTACCGGTCGTGACATCGCTATCGCATGTCTGCTTGGTGCTGAGGAATGGGGCTTCGCTACCACACCGCTCATAGCCATGGGTTGTATTATGATGCGCAAATGTCATTGTGCGTGTTGCCTTCCTGGCCTCTATCGTAGCTAATCTGTTTACTCCAGTGAACACTTGCCCGGTTGGTATAGCTACACAAGACCCTCAGCTTCGCAGCAAATTTGCCGGACAGCCGGAGCAAGTCATCAACTTCTTCTATTATCTCGCCGAGGAGCTTCGTGGTCACATGGCCAAGCTCGGTTTCCGCACCATCAACGAGATGGTTGGCCGTGCTGATATGCTCAAGGTTGATGAGAAGCTGCGCACCATCAAGACCGCCCACCTCGACCTGTCCGCTGTTTTGAAGCCTGCTTGGCAGATGCGACCTGGCGCTGCAACTTACCGTGTTCGACAGCAAGATCACAAGCTGTACATCCGCCTCGACAACAAGTTCATTGACGAGTCCGAACCAGCCCTTACCAAGGGGCTTCCCGTTCATATTGAGTGTGACGTCACCAACACTGATCGCGCCCTCGGCACATCGTTATCACATCGCGTATCGAAATTGTATGGAGAAGAAGGGTTGCCGAAGGATACTATCCACATTCTCATGCGTGGTTCAGCAGGACAGTCCTGCGGTGCCTTCCTTGCTCCTGGCATCACAATCGAACTGGAAGGTGATGCTAACGACTATGTCGGAAAAGGCCTGTCTGGTGGGCGTCTCATCGTTTACCCCCCTAAACAATCAACTTTCAAGGCAGAAGAGAATATCATCATTGGCAATGTTTGCTTGTACGGCGCTACGTCGGGTGAGGCTTTCATCCGAGGTGTCGCTGCCGAACGTTTTGCTGTTCGCAACTCGGGGGCAAACGCTGTTGTTGAAGGCACAGGTGATCATGGATGCGAATACATGACTGGCGGACGCGTTGTGGTCCTAGGAACTACTGGGCGCAATTTCGCTGCTGGAATGAGTGGTGGCATTGCATACGTGCTCGATACCGCCCACACTTTCTCGTCGAAGGTCAATATGGAGATGGTAGAACTTGGAAAGGTCAGTGACCCGCGTGAAATCGCTGCATTGCGTGGCCTCATCGAGGACCATCGTCACTACACTGGCTCTGAGGTTGCCGATCGCGTCCTTCACGACTTCCACCATTTGCTCCCGCTCTTCGTTCGCGTCATGCCACTCGACTACAAACGTGTGTTGGAAGAGCAGGCTGCTAAAGAGAAGGAGGAAAAGATAAGGCTTAATGTTATCGACTTGGTCCCATCTCGTACCGCTAGCCAAGTTGATCTTGCGTCGGAGGGGCTAGAAGACATTCTCCTCCCGAAGGAACCAACAATGATCCATGCTCTTCCCAAACGCCATGAGCCTGCTGTCACAGACCTGGAGGATTCCACGATTGACGACTCGACCACAAAACAGCGTCTTCACAAATTGGACAAAGCTCGAGGGTTCATGAAGTATCACCGATTGAACGAGGCATACAGACCCCCTAGAAAGCGCGTCAAAGACTGGAAAGAAATCTCGATCCGCTTGACTGAGAGCGAGTTGAAATATCAATCTGCTCGATGCATGGATTGTGGCGTTCCATTTTGTCAGTCTGACACAGGATGCCCAATCTCAAACATCATTCCCAAGTGGAACGATCTCGTGTTCAAGGGCCAGTGGCGCGATGCTCTTAACAGACTACTTATGACGAACAACTTCCCCGAGTTCACTGGTCGTGTCTGTCCTGCACCTTGTGAAGGCGCGTGTGTACTTGGTATCAATGAGCAACCTGTTGGTATCAAGAGCATTGAGTGCGCCATCATTGACAAAGTGTGTTGACTACGTACCTCATTTGTTAATGTCGCTTATTTTGGACAACTAGGGCTTCGAGATGGGCTGGATGGCCCCTAATCCGCCGAGCTTCAGAACTGGGAAGCGAGTCGCGATCATTGGCTCCGGACCTGCTGGTCTAGCATGCGCTGATCAACTTAACAAGGCAGGACATCTCGTCTCTGTATATGACCGCAATGATCGCATGGGTGGTCTTCTTATGTATGGTATTCCAAAGTGAGTCGACTATAATCGAATACTGTCGACGATCCTGACCTGCGACAGCATGAAGCTCGACAAGACAATCGTACAGCGTCGCTTGGACTTGATGCAAGCCGAGGGAATCGTGCGTTTTCGTAACCCTTGTAATTTATCGTCTCGCTTATCGTTTCAAAGACCTTCGTACCAAATGCTCATGTCGGAGTCAGTGTTGATGCTGGTGCTCTCCGAGCAGAGAATGATGCGGTTGTTGTGTGCACGGGAGCAACGTGGCCTCGCGATCTCAATATTCCCAACCGCAATGTAGACGGCATTCACTTCGCCATGGAATTCCTTCAGGTTCGTGCATCGCCTATTTTTAATTGAAAATTTCGAACACCTTCTTTAGCTGAACACTAAGTCCCTCCTGGACTCAGAACTGCAGGATGGGTCCTACATTAACGCAAGGGGTAAAGATGTTATTGTCATTGGTGGCGGTGATACCGGCAACGACTGCATCGGCACATCCATGCGGCATGGCGCCAAGTCTGTGACAAACTTTGAGCTTCTACCCAAGCCTCCAGGTTCGCGTGGCAGAGACAACCCTTGGCCGCAATGGCCTAGGTCGGTATTTCCAATTTTCGTGACATGCAACAATCGATCTGATTCAATCTTCCATCAGAATTTTCCGGGCCGATTACGGTCATACTGAAGTCGCTGCGCACTTTGGCAATGGTAAGTGATCTTTGCCGTCGGTTGACATCTTTCCTTACGCTGTCTTAGATCCACGGGAATACTCTATTTCCACAAAGGAATTCGTTCTTGACGATGCTGGGAAGCTCAAGGGCTTGAATACTGGTGCGTCGAGACTTCCCGAAGACTGTACTTGATATTGATGCCTCGCGTCTCGGAATAGTCCGAGTTGAGTGGACCAAAGATAGTAGCGGGCGATGGAAGATGGAGGAGGTGCCTGGCTCTGGGAAGTTTTTCCCTGCACAACTGGTCTTCTTAGCTCTTGGATTCCTGGGTCCGCAGTCACAAGCTCTCAACGCCCTGGGTATCAAGCAGGATGCCAGATCAAATATCCAGACGCCTCCGAAGGTTCGTTTTGCAACATTTGTTATGCCTTCCTAAACTCGACGATCCTCGCAGAAATACACGACAAATGTTGAGGGTGTCTTTGCAGCCGGTGACTGTCGCCGTGGTCAGTCGTTGATTGTATGGGGTATCAAGTAAGTGGGACCTTTGTTTCAAATTCGGGTAATAATGAAATTATTCCAGTGAGGGACGGGGTGCTGCTGCCGAGGTCGATGCTTGGATGAGCGCAGGATCCACACGTTTACCTAGTGCCGGCGGTATTAAAATTAGAGTGAGAACCTTTACCCACGGTCATTGTGATTGTCTGCTGACATTAATCGCACCAGACTTTCGTGCCTCCTCCTAGCAATGTCACACAGACGGTTGAAGTGTCTGCTTGAGCGCCGCGGCAGACGGCTTCGCGTTTTCATCAGATAAGTCTATAGGAATCTTTGAAGATTTGTATCTATATCATTGTACGGTATTTCCTGAGAGTATATCCATCAGCAATCTATTTTCGTTCGTGGCTTACAGTCTCTCACAGAGGGTCACCTTCTCAGTCTATGCACAGAGATTGTGGTGGAAGAACTCAAAAGTACCGGTATACTAGCCTTGAACATAGTGTGACTCAAGGTGACCAACGTTGCATGGAGGCAGGGCACGATGCGTGTCGCGTGTCTCCTTTAGTCTCATGGTAGGTTTCAGATTACTACCTGATCTGATAACCTTTGAGATTATCTGGTGTGAATTCCTCTGTGATCTGGCAGAGGTCAGATAATCTCGAAGTCCCTCCAACGATAAATACCTCTCTGAGTACTTACAATCAAGAGTAGATCCCCAACCATTGTCAACACTCAAACATTCTCAGAAATGCCCAAAGTTGCAGGAACCAGACTCATGGTCAAAGAGAGGGGAGGAAAAGCACAGGTGGCTTTCCGCAAAGCACTAGGTATATGCGGGGATCAAGACACCCATTTTCAAGAGATCAAGGTCAGTGATCTCGATGGACCACCACGTACACCGCACATTGGGATCTCAGCAGCTGACTTTCCGAACAGCATCGCATACGAACCCTTGCGGTGAAGCACTTCGAGATCGGTCGAAAACCTCGGGAACAGGAGCAGATTATCAAAGAGCGATTCTTAGCAGATGTACGGGCGTCTATTGACGATAGAGCACCACTCATGGTTGATCACCCAGGTTCAAGAAGCTTTTCCGATTTTTGGAGATGACGAGTGTGCACATGCGCATTTACTCAAATACGTCCATCGATATCTTCACGCCAAAGCGGTGCCGAGTTCGCGCTTCTATCAAATGATGCACGGTAACGACATTGCAGACAGTGAGGACTGGGTAGGGGACAATAATCATGACGAGGCTGGCAATGTCGAGGAACACATGCCAGCAAATTCCGAGCAGCTGGATCCTCTGATCCCCAACAGATCCCAGGTAAGAAGGTCTTATCTCCGACAGCTTCCGCATTTTCATGATAGTAATACAGACGACCTCTGAGTTGGAGGAGGTAAATGAAGGAGCTTCTCGTTTAGTTACCTCTGATGGCATCCAAGGTATGGTGCAACAGGTGATTGACATCCGTTAAGTTGAAGAGTGTACCGCAACTCATCCGACTTTGGACAAGCCATCCATCTCGAACTCCCCGAGTCCTACCCTAATGGATGCTTCTCGAACTATGAATCGTTCCCCATCTCCAGATCCATTGGCGACCGTGCCAACAGAATATACCACCTTGCGCAAGCACAGCAATCAGCCATGGCATGCATCATCCGCGGGTACCGTATTGGCGTCGGATGACCCCTGCGATACGACACCTATCAGGAACTTTCTCGGTCACGCAGCGCTCGGCCATTTACTGGAGGAACTTATGACACTGGGCATCAAGAATCAGTCGCGTCTTCTTCTTGTAGCAACATGGTCAGAGGAGGACATCAATATCCTCTTGCGTGATTCTGTGCGAGAAAGCAGAATCGACAAGTTTGAGGCGCAGCAGCTCGTCATTGCTTTGCGTTCTCTCCATCGGCGATCTATGCAGGCTGATGACTGATGACTTCGATGCCCCAACATACATTTCTAGCCGTTTGCATCACTTCTCCGCATGTGCATGTACTGTAAGCGTGTATACGGTTTTCTTTAGCGATTAAGAATTTAGCAGCTTCCCATGATGGGGATACATTCGCTTGATGTTTCTGTCACAAGTTACAACCACTTCTTGCCATCTTGGCATTGCAGGTGCTTTCTCGTCGCATCGTTTGTTATGCCTGTCATCGCACAGAAATCGATTGCTGTACTATATCTTCCGTAGGTAGTTACAAGACGTATTCAAAGCAACAGTAGTTTTCATTGCTGTGCGTCTATGACAGTTGCCTGCAATCCCAATTATACATGGTTTTCGCCGTTCGCTCAGCGCTCAATGTTGCCGGGCGTGTCAGAAACTGCACACTTCTCGATCAGCATGTTACTCCTCATATATTCTTACGCCTCCTCCGCCCCAGTTTTGCATGACAGCGTGCCCCCCTTCGGTCGGTTGTGTAAACGCGACATCGCCATTGACAGGGTCCAGTGGACAGCCATGGATGAACGTCGCGGCCGCAGCTGATAACAAGCGGCTAGCGATACCTTGTCGTCGATGTGCCGACGAGACAAATAGACGTGGTATACCGAGGGGCGTAGGCAAGGCCTCTGGATGGCAAAAGAGCCCCGAGGTCGTGTCGACTGCGACCAGCCTGTGAGTCGGCGATGACGGGGGTGAGTGGCGGTGAGTGGCTTCATCGGAATCACGCTTAAGTAAAGTTTCTGAAGGAGCGGCGACAGTCATGGCAGTAGATATTCGTTGAGCAATGACGCAGCCGACTATCTTCTCTCGATGCGAATTGGTCAGTGATGGTATCAGATAGAGGTATGCCTTCGATGATTGTAGGATGTCGGTTGATAGCGGAGGGGATGAAAGGGCAAGATTTATCGTCTCGAGTAATATCGTAAGCTTCGGAAGTGTTAACCAGAGTCCATAGTACGTGTGCGCTGTAAGCATAACGCGATCTGCTCACCTTAGATCCAATTCTCCCACTAACGTTCGCCTTGAAGCAGATAATGCGGCCTTTCTTTCCATCTTTCAGCTTCACTGCAGATTGTATTTCTTCCACGCCGACCTTCTCTGCCTCCCGTTCTTCCTCTCTCCCCCACTCCATTCCCCTTTGTACGCGTAAGCAATGGGCACGATGCAATGACTCGTCGTCCGGTGCGCCTCGTGTATATGAGAGGCCACAAATTGTGCAAGTTCGTAGAACTGAGGTTTCTATAGAGAAATGAAGCTGCCTTAGGACGCTTTGTTTTGGCTTTGCCGACCTCCCCGAAGGCGACGTTTTGATTGTTATCCGTTTCTTTATTGGGGGCTCGTTCTCGCCGCCTTCCCCGAAGCACTTGCGTTTCGTTGTGGACGGTGGCGATGATGATGGTGAGGAGGACGGGAGTGACAGCCGCGAGCGCGAGCTGTAGGTGCGTTTGACTTTGTTCATCGATTGCATCTGTTACAGGCTCTGCAGGCGACGGGATCAACAAAAGTTACAAAACAGCGTGGCGCGACGCGTCTATATAGCTTGCGCGCACGTGACTTCATCACGTGTATCACAGAAATAGCGCATGTCAAGTCAACGTCGTTACGTCTGTGAGCAACTTGTGTCTCACTGGTGCAGGCTCTCAGGCCGCCCTTCCTTCTTTAACTATTCCCTGTTAACTTCCAAAAAATGCTCCCATGGAGCAATTCCAGTGCGACGCCCTTGTCGCGACTTCTCTCCTTTATCGTTACTTTGTTCTCCTTTCTACCACACATATCATGGGCTTCAGAATGGATCGACTATTCGCCAGGTGGATATGCTACTATGACACACTACAGTCTTCCAGAAAATTTCATTGCAGCATGCGGGTGTACATCCACCAGCACAAATTATCCAACTGCTGCAATGAATCAAATGGCATATGGCAGCAGTACATCTTACGGCCCCGCTTGTGGACAATGCTTTAATCTCACCCTGTTAAATTCTTTCCTTTCGAATCCCCCTTTCTACCCCAATGTTACAAAGTCAGTGGTCGTAAAAGTCACCGACTTATGTCCACTATCTCTTTCCGGCTGGTGTAATGCAACTACTCATGGACCGAACGCGTAAGCACACTTGTTTCGTAGTTTCGACATCTAATCTTCGCATAGTGGTGGTCATTACTTGAATTTTGACCTCGCATGGCCATCATCTTCGATTCCAAATGATTTCTTTCCATCAGATGAACCACTTTATGGTGAGCACCCCGAGATCACCTCCACACGCATAATCAATTCGAGCTTCTAGGTCATACTGTGAGGCGCCTTATTGCCGCTGTGCTTGTTTATATAAATCATTGTGCAACCAGGACTTTGGCGTCTGGAATATCAGTTACCAGTCGGTCTCCTGTACAAATTGGGAGGGCTGGAATCACGTTGCTGCTCTCGGGAGCGTAGCTAACTTAGGATACAGCGCATGCTGTCCTGACGATCCAGCTGTTAGTCATTCGCTATCCTATATCTAATTGTTAATATACTTTTTCCATTAGGCAAGTACTAATGATACTTGTCCGTCGTATTCTGACAACAATGGCATCCCGTACGTGTCCTCTCGCCCATTTTTTGAAAAAACTTTCTGACAGTTGCGGCCAAAAAGACCTGACACGCAAACATCTGGATTCGTTATATCCCCGTCAAATTCGCTCCTTCCTATTATCACGCTCGCTGTATCGCTATTATCGCACATGTTGTAATTTCTTCCGTTGTCCGGCTTCGTGGTTTTCTTAGCATACCCCGAACCCATTGGGGTGAGCTCGTACAAAAACAATGGCTACTCCATACAACATGTATTCTTTACGTTCTTTACGCTCGCGATCGAGGACATGCCAGGTGTCAATAACAGACAACAAACGGGTCTGCGACTGGCTTTGTTGGTTATCAGATAACTCTAGTTACTGAGTGTACCGTGCACCTTGCACGACTTGTCAAGTGTTCGTGCTTCATAGCGATTTGGAAAAGCATGCCAATAAGTAGGAAAAATAAGGAGAACTTGAATTCCAGGAACAACTTATTGTGTTTATTTCCCAGCTGCATTCGCATGCGTCCAAATTACAGACGAAAAATGTTGATCATGCAACAACATAACGTTGATAATCTACATTGTCTGCCATGACAAAAGCTGTTGCTTCAAATTGAAGGAGAGGGTCAGCCTGTTGACGCAGTGTATGGACATGGAAGTCTTCACTGACACTGAACGAAAGATAAAACATCAAGTACACGCAGCTGTGATTGCAAAGTCGAGAAGCACGTTCCTTAATATCTTTGCTGATCCTTTGGTCGAGCGTGTTGTGAACAGGTCGACAACGATGGCTTCGAATACTTCAATACTTATATTGCATACTGGCATCTACACTCATTAGTATAAGCTCAGGTGCCTAAGTACCTCGACGACAATTGCGTCACCATCTAGAATTACCAAGTAATCAAATTTTCAAAGCAAAGATTGCAAACTGTCTGGTAGTAGGTATGAGTAAACAGCAAGTGTGGAAGTTGAAACAAAGGATGGATGGATGACAGGTTGGTCGACGCGAGTTAGCGCGTGCCTTTGGCTCAATTACGTAAAGAATAAATCAGGGATATATAGATCTTACAGGATATAAATTCTATGGGTAGATAGGCCCCGCAGGACTCCATAGCGTCACAGTGGACGAAAAGCCTTCCGAGTCGTTGGCAAAATAGATGATCCCGTTCTCTTCTATGCTGATTTGGTATGTTGTCCCCACGGTTGCCAGACTGTAGATGGTGGCGCAAGAGGTCCAGTCTACGTTGACCATTTGTGCTTGACATGTAGTGTTACCCTCACACGTCGCGGAGTAGTTCTGGTGAGAGGCAAGGGTTAGGAATGACCCAGTTCGCTTCAGCTATACCTCACCTGGAAGAAACTGTAGTGACCAGCACCTTTGGGGAAAGCGCATAGAATATAAGTGCAAGCATGATATGAGCACATGAATAAGACGAACCGAACACGATGACATCTATGGATGAATGCACCCAGAGTCCCCAAGCCATGGTCATGCCATTTTCAAATGTCGGATCATCGTAAACTTGTGAGATATCGAATGGCCCTGGCGGTGCAGGATCAGGTTGGAAGTAAGGCTACGCAAAGATGTCAGAAGCTAACTCATTTCGTGTCTAGATTAACCTACCGTCTCGGTCTGGATCAGACCCATGTAATGGTTCCTTGCTCCGACTAAACTATACTGATAGAGCACATGATGTTCCGCTGATGTAATCATCTATAAATTCACGAGCATCACCCAAGGCATAATGCTTACAGGCTATGCGACATCAGAATAGTTGTATTGTGCTTAGAAGAGTGAACTTACCTGTACCAATCATCCAGACAGGACCCTGGGAGTGTGACAAAATACCTCTTCCGCTGAACACAGTTAGCTGATCAGAGCCGTCGAGATCATGATCTGCCAACCAAACCCATGTTCCCTTAGTGAAGGGAATTTGAAATCAGTGTGCCGGAACTATTGCTAGGGTCATAATTCCACACCTCAAGGTAAGCTGATGCACCATATGTTATGTGAAAACCAAGGAAAGCTCCAAAACATTCGGGACTAAGGGTTCCCGCGCGGCATTCTGCGTCTTGGAGGTGGGTCCCATTGGCTAAAATATAGAGCAATAAGTCATTATCCGCACGGGAAAAAAATCAAACTTGCCTCCGCCGAGCCTATCACGGACGCAGATCAGAGAACGGATTTCAAATGAGATTAAAAGGGACTCACCGGATGTGCGAATCCCACATTCCTGCAGCTCCTTGGAGACCAGCGGGTTCGTGGACGTTCCACTCCACGACGATGGCACCTGCGGTTGGTCCTTGCGTCGTGAACACGATATCTGTGATCTCAGTAATGCCCTGCGAGCCCGGTATACCGACTTGTACAACAACATTCGGATCGTCTTGATTATTGAAATTAAGACCAGCGCCCATAATCTGGGTCCAAGCCTCTCCTACAATTCGAGTTCCTGCCGGAACCTGTATAGTCGAAGTAACCTTATAGATGCCAGCATCGAAATATATGATGTAGCATCCAGCGTACTGTCCCGCGTTTCATCAGCATAGATAAATATTGAGACTATCGTGTAAAGATACCTTTGCGAGCACAGCATTAATAGCTTCAGTGTCATCTGTCACCCCATCTCCAACAGCTCCCAATGACCTGACACTCTTGAACTGGTCGACTGAATAGTCAGCATACATAGGATGTCCTTTGCTGACAATGAAGCCGTTGGGGTCCAAAAGGCTCGGGTCCTTATACGCAGAATATATCTCGCCCTGTGTGAACGTTCCGTTCGGGTGCGCTCCTGTATAGACGTTACCCTTGCCCCATGAGTCGATGGTCATTGTTCCACCGGCAAGGATGGTAGTGCCATTTTCCATGACAGCGGTGGAAACGTTGTTGAGATGAATGTTATTTAATACGAGGGATCCTGCAACAGAGACATTTGTCGGATTTGGTGTCTTGATGAAGATAGGGGTGTTCGTGACCACTGCGTCAATGATGGCCTCTCCGCCATTACCGCCACCCGACAGATTAAAGCCGATTTGACAGTCATTAATTATGACACGTTGGTAGGTCCATCCTGTCCATCATCAATTGCGCGCTCACAACGGAAGATCAAATATTACCCCAGTTCCACGATCCGAACACAGCTTGGGGCAAGTGATATAAGTCTAGTATATTGATATATATCGTTGACCTTACCTGTGTTTGCATTGTTGACGGTAATATTACGCACGGTAAACCTGTGAATAGATGCATCATGCGCTACGGAACTGGGAGAGTAGCATGAACGCAAACACTCACTGTTGGTTTCCAACCCAGATACCATACTTTCCACCGTTAAATACGAGATCTCCCATAAAGCCACCACTTCGCTAGTGTTCACATATCATGTCTTTCAACGTAGCAACATTTATTTACCTTCCTTCCTCCATATATATGCCTAGGGGCAAGGATAAACGAACATCCCATCTTTCATAACAATGACATACCCTGGTGATTGTTTCCAGGTTCGGTAGACATGTTGACCACCACGTTGACCAGCGACGTCGCCTGTGAGACTTCCCAGTGGATACCAGTGGCCGAGACATTCGCAGGCATTCGTGTGAGGTCGATAACGAAGTTGCGCGCTGACCGGAAGCTTTCATAATAAAAGGCCATCGATGTCACGCATACAAGGAATTTCAAACGACACATACAAGTTATCCTGGTTGATATACCAGTTCTGATTATTAGTGTAAGGGTCAGCATCTGATCTCGCTGTTAGTCGGTCCTATCAGACTAAAGAGGCCACTCCGCACCAATTACAGCCATTCCCGTGAAGTTAGCACTGGCAAGCAACGTCGGAGGTGTTCTTGCGTCGCCCACCATGACTGTGTAGTAATATGCCTGAAGTGGGGTAGATACGAGGTAGGTTCTGATTGACCGCATCAGAAAATGAACCTGGCATTTATTCACAGATACTCACCCTGCTGGGAAGTAGACCACTGCTGGAGTAGTCCTAACGAGCCATCAAGAATGTATTAAATATCTTGGCAACTTCATGACTTACGTTGATGAACCGCAAGTCAAGTTACCACATCTGCTACCAGTGGAGATTGCAGCACTGCAAAAGATGAGCATTATAATATGATCATCGATCCGAAAGATTATGCACTTAATAGCATAAGTATCATCATGTACACCATCACCCACAGCCCCATAATCCTTCACGTTCCGGAACACTTTGTAATTCGTCGCATTAGGTGCGAACGGTGCCATACCCTGATGCTGGATGTTCTCGAGCCAGTAAGGCTCCCCCCACGCTGCATTTCCTGTAGTAAGAGGCACACCACATGCTGATCCCAGTGCGGTGACCTGAGTGATCTGGCTCACAATCGCGCCGAGGGCGAGCAAAAGTAAGCTTGTGAGCACCATGCCTTAGCAGCCAGTGGGATCCGCAAAGTGCAACGAAGAAAACGCTGGCACATGGCTAGGTTTCGGACAGATTTTATATATGCCTAAGGATATAATCGAAGCGTACCAAGGTTGTCGTTGGAAACGTAATGGAGAAATAATGGAGAAATCTCATCGCACAACAAGGGGCAATCTAGTCTGGGCCGCATGCAACGCTGAGCAGCTGGCCATATCGTGTGACGAACATCGCCTTGATCACAAACTGAGAATGAGATTGTTGGTGCCATCATTCAGGTGACCTGTAAGGATTGTTTAAATAAAGACCAAGGGTCCCAACTTGAATTCTAGGTTGACTCGATTAACGATGGTTTGATGAGCTGGCATCCGACGGTGCTAGCTGTGAGTCTAAATATTCATGTCGAGAAATTTAAATTACGCTTTGGGACTGCGAGACAGTCACGTGATCTTGATCGCGCATCCCGATCGGAATCCCGGTGATCGAAATGGCAAGGGTGGGCGCGTCGGTCGAGTGCGTCTGCGACTGGCCCCAAATAAACTGCGAAGCGCTGTAAAGTTAAAGTGCCATTTAAATTTTGGCAGGGTGAGTTAGTGCGTATAAGTTCGACACGTCGAAAAATTCACAAAGTTGACCCTAAATTTTGTTAATTTTCCCATGTCCTCTGTAGATAAATCTCGCCCACCAGAATATTAGTGTACTTTATGGGTGCGCTACAGCGTCGCCACGTACATTCGCGCCTCAAAACGCTGCCACCCGTCCTCAGCCATATCCGCTTGTCGTCCGACACATTGTTTCCTTCAAAAACAAGTGAAAATAGTTGGTGTGATTGTAGCTAGATGAGTGTGAAATAAAATGCATTCAAATATACTTTACAATATTCCACCTATTCTACTGGAACTACAGACTAAAAACTCGCACTAGTCATTGGGGCTGCTGACCGCAGGACTTCACACGGCCGCAGTGTGACGTCATAGTATTAAACACGCTGAATCTGCCTGGTTCTCCGACTCGCCGGGCCATTTATTACGGAATTTATATTAGCTGATCGTAAATTTCCTCAGTTACACGCATAGTAAACAGGCTTGAAATAATATGCGCCACCAGTGGATCTGAGAGTGTTACCATGTGCACGGACGCCGGGAGTCAAGAAAACCGGTTGGCCGCTTGGATTGGGCCCCAAGTATAAAAACCAGAGGACGGCTGAGGAACTCTGTCCTTTGATCACATGGTCCTTCCTCCGCCCTGTAGGTAGAACCGCTCTTCACGCGACTTTCAGTGTTGGGGCTAAAGCGTCAGATGCGGAGAACTTTACAATACAGTATTCGATGCGCAGCAGTTCTTGCGAGATCGGATCAGGCAATAAGTTATGCAAAGTGTCACAAAACAAGTTAACGATTGCAACTTCCGTTGGTTATCATATTTGCAAAGTGATGCAATAGCCAAGTTTAGCAACCCCAACTCACGGCGAACTCGAAGACACGAATATCCCTTTGATCAGTGGATGGTACACCTGGGAAGCTGCCCTTCTGGGGACAGTTGTGGATCAGGTGATTGGAGTGTTAATGTGGCGATGTTGCATCTGAAAATGCTTGTCGAAAAGAAAATTCAAGGCTGAATTTGAAACGGATGGCATCATGATAAGTATGTGAAACCTTGCAACATATGTCCAAGCTCTCACGTAGAAAATGATGTTCCGAGTGCGTAGATATGCAGTACACGAGGTTGCTGCTCGTAAGTTTGTAGGCCGGAACCCAAAGGCTTCCCGGGCGCATGGTGGAGGCCCGAGGGTAGATCATGGGACTTCACAGTTCACAGGCGGCATTCTCCCTATTATAGATTGTCATGATCCTGGGTATTCGCAGTATGTCAGTCTCGAAGTTGAACGTTCAGGGACAGCTGCCGCAACATATATCAACAGCAGTCACTGGGCGTGTTCATTTGAGCAATGAGACTCTGACACGCACATGATTTCCGTCTGGTGCGATGCATGTTGATGAGGGCGGCTTTGACGTGCCAAGTCTCTGCACTACTTTTTCATCATACCATGGAAACCGATCTTGGGCAATTCCATGAAAATGGTCAAACTCACCGAGGACGGATCAAGAACGGCGGCTGGAAATCACGCCCTGCTATGGCTATATGACATATGTGAGTTGAAGGTGGCATTGCAGGGCTGATAACAGATTATATAAAGATATGCCGACATCGGGCTGGACTGGTCTTGCGGACTGCCTTTCGATTATGTAAAGCGGAATCATATCAGTCCAGACAGAATGAACATCAACCTCATCGATATGGCACGTCCATATCAATGTTGCATTGATATACAGGAGAGGAAAGCTAGGACGAGCAGGAGTTTTACTTGCCCCCTGAGGCGCGCTCCACGATATTCGGGCCCTAGCGAATTTGAAGCCCTTTAAAATTTGTGCCTGCTTAGCAGATAGGAGGTGGTCCCTTGGCGCCTATTACATTTGTGCAGGTAGCTCAAAAATGTCCAACCGAGCCTGGCCAAGCAATACTTGCGCAGGTTCACGATCGCGGTTAGTGTGGCGTTTTTGACGATTCCGGCCAGCTGATTAATGACGTGAAGAACCTCACAGCATGACAGGGTGGGTGATCTTGTCTTGCATAGTAGGAAGATGGTCTTCAATAGGACACCAGGATTCGATGCTTCGAATTCATGCACCAAGATAGTTGTGGCGATTCGCAATATAAAGCGAGTTGGTGCAGCTGGGTCAAGGTCACGCACTTTGATGATACCTCTTTTATCGTCGTTCACGTCAGACGCCGTGGAATGGTGTAGCCTAGATCCCGTCCGTCCTCGAAAGTTTCCAGCAGAAATTCTCGGATCTCGTACGAGGCTAGATGCTGTGTAATAGCGTCTAATGATGGCGGGCATTGGCTAGGTCAATGACCGGTTCGCTTGCTCGGAAAGCCGTAACTGGATGGTATTTTCGTACGACGACTTCGAGGACTGTTCGAATCAGCAGACCTCACGACAGGCAAAAATATCATCACGCACGCTTTGACAGTTGTCAATTCCGAGTGTGGCATATACGTAATACTTCTGAGACTTCGAGACTCGGAGGTAGTATCATTGTCAAAAATCAGGCTGTCACGGGTCACGCTACAGCTTCGCGCGGCCGAATACTTCATCTTCTGAATTTCTAGCCCCACCACCTCCTCTTCTCTCGTTTAGCTATAGCTGTGTACCTGGTGGTTGACTCTGGTCTCTAGACAGTGAGTCTATTTCTACTTGGGACGATCAAATTCGTTATGGCCATGAGGCTGTTATAAAAATCAACCCGTGCGCAGCCTTCCTTACGTTTAAAGCACTCTGTCGTTTCTATTGTGCCGAACTAACGTTCTCTCATGGATAACCAGGACCCGCATCCTGAAATCGTGGTTTCCCCCCCTCCCGACGCCACCATGTATCCCAGTAATAGCGCACATTCTCAGAATATTCCTTACGATCCTTTGCCCTTGACTCAAGATCCACCCAGGGACTCGATTTACTCCGATCCCTCTTCTCCCCATGCTTCGGGCTTCGACACTCCTCCTGTCGAAATGTCTCAGTTTTCGGACACCATACCCCCGAGCGGTGCAGCCCAACCACGCTTTCTTGGCGCAGCTTTGTACGACGACCCCTCTAACAGCTATCGAGATTCCTTCGCGTCGCAAAATACCCAAAATACCTTTAGAACCGCGCCTTCCGCCATCAATTCCTCTGTCTACGCCTTGAATCCTGAAGTAGAACGTTCTAGCGCCTACCGTGATGACCCACATGACCCTGAGTATAACTCTGGCTCTGGTCAGGATGTGGGTTTCAACTCCCCTCGTTACCTTGCTGAGAAGCGATCAGCATACACCGTCCCACGTGTAAAATCAAAGCGCGGACTTATCATAGCTGGCTCAATTCTTGCAGCTGTGATAGTCCTTATTGCTGTCGTTGTCCCCATATATTTCGTCGTGATCAAGCCCAAATCATCGTCGAATAACAGCTCCGCCGTCTCTCCCAGCAACCCCACCTCGACCTCAACCTCGACCGGTCAACCTTCCTCCGCTGTTGTCACTGGTGGCAATGGCAGCACAATCACGATGGAGGATGGTACTACCTTCACGTACTCGAATCCTTTCGGTGGTACCTGGTATTGGAATCCTGATGATCCATTCAACAATAATGCTCAGGCTCAGTCATGGACGCCTCCCCTCAACCAGACCTTCAGCTTCGGCACTGATAAGATTTTTGGGTATGTTTTTCTCGATCGTTGCTTGTACCTGCAATGACCTTTTTTTTCAGCGTCAATTTGGGTGGTTGGCTTAATACGGAACCCGTGAGTTGGTATCAGTTTGACTCACACATTGTACTGATGTTCCGTTTGTAGTTTATGCAAGTCTATCCGCGCTGCTGGCAACATTGTACCTTACTTATCTTTATCTTAGCGCACCCGCTCTTTATCAGAAATACCCTCAAGCTATCGATGAGTGGACGCTGAGCGAAGCCATGGCCGCTGACACATCATCGGGTGGCGGTTTGTCACAGCTAGAAACGCATTATCAGACGTTCATTGTAATTTTTTTTTTCACGTCGTAAATGATAGAGCTGAAGATGTTCACCAGACCGAACAAGATTTTGCCGAAATTGCTGGAGCAGGACTGAACTTCGTCCGCATTCCCCTTCCATACTGGGCGATCGAAGTACGATCAGGCGAACCGTTCCTCCCCAAGACCTCGTGGACGTATGTCTACATCATCCTTCTACTCTCTTTACCCTGCTGAAGCAACTTTCAGATATTTCTTAAAGGCTATCCAGTGGGCTCGCAAGTATGGTCTTCGTATCAACCTCGACTTCCATGCGCTTCCTGGAAGCCAGAATGGGTGGAATCACTCTGGCAAGTTTGGGTCGATCAACGTTCTTTACGGCCCGATGGGTATTGCAAACGCCCAGCGGTCACTAGACTATATTCGGATCATTGCAGAATTCATCTCTCAGCCTGAGTACAAAGATGTTGTTGTCATTTTCGGCATTACAAATGAGCCTCAAGGGACCCCGATCGGCCAGGATGCTCTCTCTCGGTAGTAAGTGTATCAATGGTTGTGGACCACCGCACCGTAACGGTAACATAATTTGCGCTGCAGCTATATGCAGGCATACAATAACGTCCGTGAGGCTTCGGGTATTGGGGAAGGCAACGGTCCCTTCATTTCTTACCACGATGGATTCCTCGGTCTTCCTCAATGGGCTGGCTTTCTTCCGAATGCTGACCGCATTGCTCTCGATGATCATCCTTACCTTTGCTTTGACGGCCAGTCTTCTGCCCCTATGTCATCTTATGCTCAGACACCATGCACTACCTGGGGTGGCATGATGAACACCTCCATGAGCGCATTCGGGTTCACAACTGCCGGAGAATTCAGCAATGCTGTCACTGACTGCGGTCTTTATGTGAATGGTGTGGGAGTTGGCACACGTTACGAGGGTACATACACTCCAGGAACCTGGCCTGTTGTAGGGAGCTGCACGCCATGGACGGATTGGCAGAATTGGAATTCGACCATGATATCAGGCATCCAGCAATTTGCCTTGGCCAGCATGGACGCTTTGCAGGTAAGCGACTAGCTTTTGGAAGTCGTTGATTCCATTTGAATTAATGTGTATAGAACTGGTTCTTCTGGACATGGAAAATCGGAAACTCATCTACTTCCGGTGTCGTCGAGTCACCGCAATGGTCATACCAACTCGGTCTGCAGAATGGGTGGATGCCCAAAGACCCTCGCGTTGCATCAGGAACCTGCGCAAATCAAGGCATATGGAGTCCTCCTCTCCAAGCATGGCAAACAGGGGGTGCGGGTGCAGGCCAGATTCCTGCGACCGTTACTGCGTCGTACACCTGGCCGCCTGCTCAGATCAGTAATGCCGGTGCTGTCTCCTTGTTACCTTCATATACCCCTACGGGAACTGTGGCAACTCTTCCTCCTCCTACATTCACATACTCTTCTGGCTCGTCTGCTAAAACCGCCAATGCCGGCGATGGCTGGCAGAATCCCTCCGACACTGCAAGTGGAATGGTTGGCATTGCAACGTGCAGCTATCTCAATCCTTGGATTGGGACCGCCGCACCACCTTCGCCCCTTTGCAGTAGTGGAGCCGCCGCACGAGCTGTTCCTGATTCGCAGATCACTCACTTCCCTCGTCAATCATAACGCCGCTCGTTAATTTGGGGACAGCACAACTTCCTCATGTGAATTTGACTGGACTATTGATATTGGGTTTTCTTGGGCTACATTTGTAGGACGATGAATTCATCAGTTGAATTGTTGAATAACCTCCTTGTTACACTCAAACCGATCTTCAGATACTTATATCGTACTTTCCCTTCCTTTGACAATATTACTATCTTTTTACTCGTACATAGGCACTTGACGGACCATTGCATTTTCTGCAGGTATACGTAGGGCACATCGGAGTCCATTCATATAACATGGCATTATCTTTCATCTATCGTCGTGTCTTGTGTTGCTCATGCTTATGATGCACTTAATTATACTTGTTCGATGACGCCTGCATCATTACCACCCCCAAGCTAGTGCTCTCCGCTAGTCGTTGCGTACCGATCTTCCAAATCCTCTTGACCTCCAAAGCCACCTTCAAAATCACGATCCTTGGTGGAAGATGCGGCATCCTTTGTGGTACTGTCATTAGATGCAGTGGTGCGCTTCTCCTGCTCCTCGCGGAGAGCAGCGAGCTGGGCTTGCTCCTGTATATAGGGAGCTGGTAAGTAATGCTTGCCATGGTTAGCCCCTTGGGAAGCCTCGCCTTCTCGCGAATGTATTTCGCTTCTTCACCTTGCTCCCTTGATCCCCAAGTAGGGTCCTATACTCATGAATGTCAATTGTCTGCTTCAGCTGCTTCACCAAGTACTCGCTTGTGCAGTAGTTCCGGAAGGCATGTTCTGGTCGAGGTGACTCCACTCTAACTCCACTGGACCAGTTACAGTAGATTCGGATTCCCATCTACAAACTCCGCGGCACTGCCTCAATTACCTTGCACCAAATTTACACCTTAGTGCTGCAGCTGAATATTTGAAAGTCAACAATCGCAGACATGGTATTGTGCCCTACCAGAGCCAGAAGTAGATATATAACTTCCTATTGTCAGATTTGACGATTTGTTCCAAGGTTAAGTAACGAAAAAGCAAATGACGAGAAAATGAGAGCGAGAGAACGTGACGATGAGTACTGTGTGATGGATAGAAATGGATATGTGTGCGATGTATCATGAACTATGCCGATGATGTGCTCCAGAGCACATCAATGAAATATGATACAATGGGGTGACGATGAGAGTGAAAAACACAGGTAACAGTGGTGGAAGGAAATTCTTGTGTCCTGAGTAAGTGTTTCTACCTGTGGGAATCGTCAGCATGGTTTCCGGAACAAAAGACTACATTGCGGAAGGGCACCTCTTGAAAGAGACAGGAATACTGTCTTGAGGACCAGCCTCTAAGAAGCGAGATATGCGAGTAAAGAAGCCCCCCTTGTTCAACTGCTCCTTACGAGACGCTCGCTTAGTTTCAGCACGCGCAATCTTGGCGCACGACCATGGGTGAAGGGGCATCCCCGTTGCCAGCGGTCTCTGGAATAGAGTCGTAAGAGAGCCTCGGATGCTGGACGTTGCAAGGTCTTCATCTGAATTCATGAAAAGTTGCACGACCGGTAACCTGTGAAAGGATCGCTTGGCAGTGTGGGAGTAGCCGGCAGTGCTCGGTACAGTATGAGCCGTTCGAGGACTCGGAGAAGGTGAGTCTAGGTGCATAACTGCTCGGGAATTGGCACGTTGTCCTGATGAGCTGCTTGGCATCTCAGGGGATAACTCCCAGCCAGCTGTAGGAGTATTGGGGGTATAGTTGAGTGTGTCCCTATTGGGCCCCTGACATTCAGACGGTGGTGTAATACGTGCCAAACCCAGTTCTGGCGGCTGGGAAAGGGAGATAATATCCAACGCAGGTAAGACCTTCACAATGCCATAAGCCTCGGTGTTAAACCAAGAACGTAATGCATACCTTTGGCATTACGCGTATCCGTTCCTGTTTGTGACCTATCATACTGAGATTGGCCAAAGAGTCTCGCGGACCCCAATCTGACACGGCCGTGACAGAAGTAGCAGGTGATGAAAACGATGGACTGTCCATCATTGCAGATGTGACGGTTGTGGTCTCATCGTGCTCCAAGGAGATCATCTTGGACTTGACTGGAGTAGACGATTCGCTAGATGGGCATGAAGCTGGTAGTCCCTCCACGGTGGCTGGAATGCTAGCCCAAACTGCGGCAGTTCTCATTCGTAGACTGGTAACACGATCTGCTATGCGACTACCAGGAGGATCGGGTTTTATATCCTCCTGACTTGAAGATCTGTCCATAGCGGAAGATATAAGCCCAAATTCTGCACCACCCTCCCAATGTTCAGTTGGCGAGGGCGTCACAGGCTGCAAGACGCCATCTTCAGAGACAACCAGGACATTTCTGGATAGGTCTGGAACGGTGAAAGTTGTACAAGGTAACACTGTGGGATGTATTTGGACTGGCTGAAAACAAGTGAGTCGACTGTAGTGCATAACACTGAGAGAGAACTAACAGGGCCCTTCTTGAAGACGCTAGCCAGAGACATCTTTTTGAAGTGCGTGAGAGTGGAGAAGAAGCGAAATTTGCGAGCCTTCGAAGACGAAGGAGGGGATGTTGCATCGTCAAAGGTCGGCGAGTTGGACTCGATCACAGCCTTTGTATCTGCAGGTGACTTGACTCTGGAAGCAGAGCCCCTACTCTTGCGCCAGAAAGTGGGATTGGTCTTAAGCATGTTGCTGATAAACATCTTATCGACAAGCTTGATGCTGGTGCTAGAGAGAGGTCCAAGGAATGATGTATGAAACAAACAACCTGAGATTTCAATTGCAACCGTCAGTTCTATGACCTTCGAACGTGCTCAGTATGAAAGGGGTGTCTCTGAGACATCTAGCGAGGCTCTTTCAGCTTAAAGCAGGAATAGTGCCAAATATCTTTGTTCGTCCCACTGGAATGTGACTAGACACAGCAACACTCACAGATAGCAGCATACTCCTGAAGGAGTAAGAAGATATACAGATAGGCGCAGCCTCCACTTAGACTTAGCTAGTCTGATGAGTTCGATCGAGGGAATGACGGTTTCGTGTACTCTGAGTCCTAAAGGCCTAATGGTTTGCTCCTAGCGGTGAAGTTCAACCTTGATTGCCGTAAATGGTCATCTCGTTTAACATGTTTGTTTGGCGATAGCTTTGGTTTCAAACAAACACCGACAGAATTCTGGAGGAGCGAGAGGTCTTATGGCGAAAGCCATTGTCAGGGTCTTAGAGCGGCGGTCACCAAAAAAAATGCTGCGAGTCATAAATAGTGTGATATCTAACAAACAGCCCAGAGCTTGGGCTCGACGGCCTAGGTAATTCAAAATCCAGAAAGGTGCTGGTACGTTACGGTAGGCGGTAATACTTGAAATCGAAGGCGCTACCTAAAAGCGGGGTCTCCTTCACCTTCGAAGCGCATGTGTTCGACCTTGCCAGTCTGCTCATAACTGAATCGGCAAGCACTGCGTTTCGTGAAATCTCTGCATCACACCGGATACTCCCAGTGCTAACTAAGTGATATTCATCATCCAAGTCAACGGCGAGACCAAACTGTGCAGCCTGTTGCGTGCTGGACTATGCCATTTGGCTAAATGGATTCGCACTTACCGTTAAGAGACCTAATAAGTCTATGAATCTATCGGAATAAGACACCAGTAGTGCACTCTACTCCGAGATACCTGCGCGTTTCGATTTTCTCGGTGATATAATCATGACCCACTACTTTCGATGAATATGATGCATTGCAAACCGAATACAAGTCAATTCAACTTACTTAATTACCGGGACATCCTCGATGCCTGCTGGGTCACAGCATGCTGTGAATTGGATCTATACCCTAAGGCCGAACAGCTCCCAAGAGTGGTCGGAGATGTGAGAAATTTCACTCAACATGCAAGTTTATCCATTAGCATCCCTAGACATTACATAAAACAAGACAGATAGGCCAGCAACAGAGAAAAAAACACAGCTAAAAGAGATATAACAGGACGATAAGTGGGCAGGGCCGACGATACGTAGTTGGTCGAACCCGTCGTGCCCGAATTTCCGCACAAACCAGAATTCTGCAGAAGAACAGTGGGATAGAGAACAAGAGGCACGCCTCCTAAACTATACTGTGCGTCGATGGTGCCATTGCTGCCCACTGGCCACTGTTGACAGGTCAGTATACTATAACAGGATGTGAGTTCTGACGTCCGAGGCAAATGTGAGAAGCAGCTGACTTGGTGAGTGACGTGCTCGCAGGATATGGGGTATAAACAGGAATACTGATGTTTTGAGGCTAATAATAGGCCCGTATGGTAAGATCAGAAAAGATCGAAGATGCAGATAAATATTCACATGGACTTACGGGAGATCCGATATTAGTCATAATGGAGACACAATCCCCCTTCAAGGTTGCGATGCCGTATGGTGATGTCGTGAGCACCTGCGTTGGCGTAGTTGCCCATTGCGTGTTGTTGACCAAGAAGTTGCGGAACTGTGAGACGCGATGTTCAACGTTAGGCCCCTCGAATTTAAACTATGGCATACCTGATTCAATGTGGTCATGAGTTGGTATGTTGTAGTGTTGGCATATTTCGAAGGCCACATTGCCTCGCGATTATACTGCGGCGGCGTCAAGGCGATCAAAAAAAAATCAGCAGGGTTAACTTACGGGATCACTGTTCCCATCAAAGCCCTGCTCTTGGCCATAATACACAATAGGTATGCTTGTAAAATGTCAGCGATTTATTGGTGAGGGCGGCGATACAAATTACCCATCAGTCATGAAGTTGAACACCATGACATTGCTGTTTCGAGTTAGGATCTGTTAGATACAACACGGGAAAGAACTTACTATAAAGATTGTGGATCAGTAGAGAGATTCGCCCAGCGAGGAACATCCTGATTTTCGACGAAGTTCCCGAGAAGTGTGGGGTCCTACAACCATTGAAGTGCATCCAGAGATAGGTGTGGACCGCATACCTTGAACTTCGCTGCCTCCTGCGCAATCATATCTGTAACGGCACTCGTATTCTGTGGCCCAGGAATGGTGAACGCATCAAGGAGCGCGGTATACATGGGGTAGTTCAGAATTGAGTCAAGGGCATCGGATCCCTGGTAGAGAGCGGCGTCGCTGCGATACAAACTTGTGTTAAGCAGGGCAGGATGGACCGCCAAGACCTTACTCGATATCCGAGCCAAAGACTTCTCCTATGCAAAATACACCGGCATTGCCACAGAACACGGGCCAGAAGCCAATGTTGACATGTCTACACTTCAGTTAGCGTGGGTGGGGGGAATGAGGGAAGCCTTACTTCGCAGCTGATAAAATCTTTATTATATTGTGATAATAAGATTGCTTGAACACACTTACCATCGATTCGGAGTCCATCAATGTTGTATTCCTTAACCAGAGACTGAATCCAGTTACTGAACCCGGAAACAACAGTTGGGTCTTCTGTGTTGAGGTCAGGAAGAGGAACGACGGTGTCACCTAACCAGCATTGTTCCTCGCTGGTGGTGTTGCTCCAATCTATGACACAATATGGATGGTATTGCGACTACATGTAAACGACTCAGTAATTGAATGTATGTAGCACGCAGAAAAGTAACCCTACCTGTTCTTTGAACATATATGTAGATAAATCAGGGGTTATTGACGTGGCCATGACATCGTTGACAACGACATCAACCATCAAGTACCTTGAAAGATTCAACAATGTGAATGTCGGTATCTATGAATACACCCACATTCCGCGACGATGCAGTTCATCTGAAAGATTCTTGAGATCGTCAGACGTGCCAAACCGAGAATTGAGTTGAGAGGCATCTGCAATCCAGTATCCGTGGTAAGGGTCTCCATATGGCGTACTCGGACCCTCATAGTTTTGGGAAACAGGACTTATCCAGACTAAAATATCAAGTCAGACATATTAATGATTATAAGTGAAGTTGTACGTACCTGCGGTGAAACCTGCGTCTTGGATGTAGTCTAGATTCTGGCGAAGACTATGGGAGGTCAGGATGAAGTAAAAATGAGTACTTGCGGTGCTTACGAATTCCAGGTCCCACCACACCACGTACGAGTCCCCGAGGGGCATTGGTTGGGGTCGGCGCCATCTGGCAAAGCATATCTGTCGATGATGACTCTACAAAAATTAATCAGTCAGATACTTAGTGAAATAGGTAGATATACGCACTGATAAATTGAACGACCTCGCCATTGATCGGCAGAAGCAGCATAAACAAGAGGCAAGGCAAACGCGAGAAGGGCAGCTGCAAGAAACGCAGCGTGTGACATGATACGAAAAAAGAGCGTGAGTTATAAGGAGCGTAGAGGCCAGCAGACGGGCCAGAAAATTTGGAGCAAAAAGAGTGAAGGTCGGGCTGAACGTTTAGGACACAGCTATTGTTGGCAAGCTGGAAAAAAAAAGTGAACTATAACGTTCTGATCAACTTTTTGTAGTGCGGCTTACCCGAATTGGGAACCGTGAAGGTACCGAATGACCGTCATTGCATGTGGAAGTGAACGACGATCCAGAATGATCAGAATGATCATATGGGCTCCGGAGGCAATCTAAAGATTGAGCTTGAGTACGTACACAATAATGCAAATCTTCTCCAAGCAATCCGGCAGCTCAGGTCATTGCAGTGCCGGGTTCACCATACAAGTTTGTAAAGTCCATTAGAACGGCGAGCGGAGGTAGCGGCGTCAAATGATCGTAAGTTAACATAAGTTCAGTATAAGCACTATTAAGCGTAACGTAACATTGCATTATGTCAGTAATGCGTGGGAAACCCAGGAACGGCTCCCCCCGCTGCATTGTGCTCTTAGTACTACGGTCCTCATAAGTTTCAGATGACTTCTGAGGGCGCTCACACATTTACCAAGTATGGCTGGCTCGTATGTCTATGGGTTCTCATTGTTTCGTTCCAGGTATTTACCCAATGATGCTTCCTACTCAAGTTCATGCCCTGATCACGTCCTCGTGCAAGTATGGTTATCACACGTCTGCTTTAAATCAGCTACAAGCTGTCCTGACGTGTAAAGTCGCTGATGCAACTGCCCCAATGTACTATGGTCTACCCACATGTATCCCAATGACCGACGCAACATTCTCTGTAGTGACGTCCATATATACCCTGGGAGGCTTCTTTGGCAGTCTGAGCGCTAACATTGTTATGGACCGTTACGGGCGGAAGGGCGCTTCACGTTTCAGCGCTGTGCTCACAGCTGCTGGTTCTACCTTATTCGGATTGTCTTCTTCCGTAGGTCCACTGATTCTGGGCAGGTATGTACTTCATACTAGTAATATCCATTACTCCAATCTCCCACGCCCAGATTTCTTGTTGGTCTTGCAGCAGGCCTGGGCATCTGCCTCTGTCCAATATATCTGTCTGAGATAGCACCAGCCAAAATCAAGGGAAACTTGGGTTCGCGCTGCGTCTTAGTTCATCAATCACCAGTAATATTGATCGACTGTCTCGTTAGGCGTTCTGACACAGCTGGCTATAGTTATCGGTATCATGGTCACCCAAGGAATGGGCTTCGGTCTCGCCACTCCCAGACAATGGCGTTTGGTACTGTTCATTTCAGCAGGGATTTCCATTTTCCAGTATTTTATCAGCCCGTTTGTCGTAGAGTCCCCTTCGTATCTCAACCGAAAGGGACTGGTAGATCAGGAGAAGTTAGCTATTCGCAGATTGTGGGGCGAAATTCATGATGTTTCGCGTACAGATCGTGAGCAGATGCTGACTTCCAGAGACAATTCTCTGATCTTATCTTTAGCTGAAGAGCGGGACAGCGAGGAACCTTTGTTGTCAGACGGCGACAACGCCACAGAACGCCCCTCAACTGGCCGCCAGCCTGCAATGACTATTCCTCAACTGTTCGCCTCTACTGGACTTCGCCGCCCTCTATTGACAATTATTGCTGCTATGACATCCCAACAAATATCAGGAATCAATGCAGGTAAGCAGAACACTCAATTGCACAATATAACATTTCTCAACCTATCACAGTCTTGTACTACAGTAACGACATACTCTCTAAATCCATCCCCGAACTAGCATCATATGTTTCGCTGGCAATCACAATTGTCAATTTTTTCATGACTTTTCCGCCGATCTTCCTTATTGAGGCAAGTTTGGTCGTTGTTCAAGTATCTGCAGCAACTTAACACAGGTATTTAGCGAGTGGGCAGGAAACAACTAATTCAATTATCAGTTGCTGGCGCTATTCTGTCTCATCTGGCTGTTGGCTATGGGCTGAATAACGGCCTCGTGACTTTGTCCAGTATCGCGATCACAACCTTTGTTATGTACGTAGTTCATATCTATTTCCTTCGCGCAACTCATGTTATCTTGAAGGTCATTTGCTTTCGGATTAGGTCCTATTCCGTTCGTCATCATCCCCGAGGTGGCACCACCCCATGTCAGTTTTTTCACGAAGTGAATCGTTCTTTCACTGACCCCATACAGGCTGTGTCCGCCATTTCATCAGTGGGCTTGTCGCTGAACTGTAAACATTTATCTGTGCCTTCGAAAGTCCGTCTCTAACTTCAATTTCCAAGGGTCGAGTAATTTTGTCATTGGTCTGATCTTTCTTCCGCTGCGCAATTTTCTTGCAAATGGCGATCCCATGAAGGAAGGAAGAGTATTTTATCTCTTTGCAGCGGCGCTACTCTGCTCGACATTTTGCTTTTCGAAATTATACAGGGGTTAAGGGGTACAGCGGATTACCTGGCTCATATGTAACATATGTCTATGGCAATAATTCACTATCCATCGACTCATGATGCTGAGGTACACAGACATTCATACATGGACACTCATATTGTGTAAGTACCATTGCAGTTTGTAATGCTGTTGCATGTTTTCTCGTTCTAGTCATCTAGTGTACCTTATCGTAACGGTGCTTGCGCACCACTCCCTGACTCCTGAATCTGATTACATAGGTTCCTTTTATTTACTCCAATATCTCAAGTTCCTACCATGTTCTTGTCACAACAGACAGATTTGATGGATCCTTACTTTACAGGTAAGGATCATGAACCACAATTAGTCAGCCTGCATGGACTTGTTCTCCATAGGTCATCCAGCCAGTACTCTCCCTTCTGCATGTTTGTCACAGGGCTTTCTGTATGTCTGAGTCATGTTGTGTGTAGCATGCCCACCTGGATACTTGAGTTCACCATCATTCTAGTTATGGGCCAGTGTCCACAGTGCTCTTCCAGCAAGGTAGCTTTTATGCCTCGCATGTTCTCTGCTAGCCCTGGATATATTCTTGTTATAGTTCAAACAGAAAAATATCCAATAGTCCTGCATCAGTTAGATCTGACATGTTTTCAAGTAGAGTGTAAGATGCAAGGGGAAGATGACAACAACCCCTGAGGTCACGATTTCGAGCGCTTGTTAATTTAAAAGTCCGAGCAAGCACTTGCTATATGTGGTCACTCCAGTAGTAAAGTCAGCCAATGAAAATCAGTTCATAATTACATAATTCCCAAAGCTGCATCAACCACCATCGTGAGCTGGCAATCCTGACAACCATGTCTGAGCAGGAGAGAAAAGAGATCAACGCTTTCATCTCTTTTTTCGCAACTTTTAACTTAGCACGGCCAGTCACTACCGTCGCTGACCTCAGCGATGGCGCCGCGCTCTTCGATGTTCTCGCTCTAGTGTACGTCTCGCACCATCCATTCATCTGTAACTAATTCAAGAAGAGACTGAACGTCGCCGTCAGAGATGCAGAGTACTTCAGGCAGTCTAGCAGGTCTTCCACGCAGCTCTCCGACAACTGGGTTCTCCGGTTCAGCGCTCTAAAACGTCTCTACCGACTCCTCACGCAGTACTTTGCTGAAGTCTTGCAGAAGCCTACGAGCGGACTCGAAGTCCCGGATTTGCAAGCCATTGCGAAGGACCGCCATGTCGGTGCGACGCTCATCATGTGCCGGATAACGATCGCGATCGCGGTGCAGTGCGAGCAGAATAAGGAGATTATTGCCCGGATTCAGCAGTTGAGTGAGGGAGACCAGCATTTTTTGATGAAGGCTATCGAGCAGGTATGTTGATTGCACGCGTGGAGCATTCACGATTATTTATGTGTGTGCGTAGGTGATAAGTAAGATCAGTGCTTCGCAAGGGGAGATCAGCGTCGGGGAGGCCAGCATGACAGAGTCAGTTATTGGTTGTGAAGAATAAGCTGCCAGTACTGATGGAACATCCAGGGACGACCATTACTACCTCATACAGTCTGAAAGAAGCCAGATCCTTTCAGAGAAGGAGACTGTAGAGAAGGTCTATCAGGCTCTTCTTGAAGAGCACCGGACGTTACAAACAAATTACGACGATGCGGTGTCTGAAAAGGACGATGCGTTGACACGGTTACGCGAAGCACAAAGGACCATTGAGAGCAAACGCAACGACAATGCGTACGGGATGATGCGCGCTGAGATCGAGCGCCTTCGCACTGAACTGTGAGTATATATTCGAACCATTCAGCCAGATCCCGTCTTATGTCTGCGGAGGTGCTAGCCAAAAGAGCGAAGACAATCTTGCTATGGCGGAGGCTGAGCTTGACAAGCACACGTCGTTGGTGACTGACCTTACCCGACGAATCGACGAGTTGCAGGTCAAAGCCGACGAGGCTGCACGCCTCAAAGACCAAGTAGATGAGTATGTGTCTTACTTCGATCACTGATTCATATTGGCACTCAACATACATAGGTATCGTCATGCAGCCGATAGACTACAAAAGACAGAGAACGTCATGGAGAAGTATAAGAAGAAGCTCCAGGAGGGTGCTGACCTTCGACAACACGTCAAGGTTTGCTCTTTGTGTTGTAATCATGTCGACCACTTCAATGACTTGCCATTCAGTCACTGGAGGCACAAAATGCCGATCTTGTCGACAAGAACGCAGCGCTTGAGGAGGACTACCGCAAGGTCGCCGCATTCAAGCCACTCATAGAATCCTATAAAAACCAGATAGCTGAACTTGAAGGAAAGGTCTCAACACGGTCACAAGAGGTCGAGACAGTAAAGTTCGAATTGGAACAATCTCGTACGAAGTTGAAGATTACTACCGAGGAGCGCAAGAAGGATACCGAGATGTTGGAGCTGTACCAGGAACGTATGCGTGAGATGGAACTAACTTCGCATCGGGCACCCACTACATTGAAGACGGAAACGCAGGCGACAGATCCTACGGGGAACAACGATGAGCTCACTGAGGAAGAGCTCATGGGCGACTCGTTTGGTCTTGATGGAGAGCTAGATGATGCTATTACAGGGACGACGATGACGGATTTGAAGCTGCAGGTGAAGAAGTTGCAACGGGAGTTGAAATCAGTCAAGAAGAACGAAGCCGATGCTAGCCGTATACTTGTCCTCCAGAATCTGCTAGAGGACGCTAATAGGATGAAGGCACGATACGAAGCGGATTATATGACTGCACATCGAGAAAAGCTGGTGTTGCAACGCGACCTTGAGGAAATCCGGAGTGGCAAAGCGCTAGGAGATGGGTAGGTGAATCTCTCTTGTACAAGTAGCTGATTCAAATCGTTCACAGGCCCGAAGCTGCGATTGCGCTACGACAACGTCTTAACGAGACAGTCGACCAGTTAGATTCTCTGCGGAAAGAGCACGCTGAGCTTGAAGTTGCCTTTGAGACTCAGAAGAGGGAGTTGACAATTGCCAAATCGGATCGTAAGTCTCTGGATATCGGTAGTGCTACTCTTTTTGACTGGCGGTGCTTCGCAGTGAATCTTGTAAACAAGGACCAGCTCGACATCCTTTCATCATTGCGAGAATCCCTCAACGAAGACAAGGCGGGGATGGAAGCTGATATGAATCGTTTAAAGAACCAGATCAAGGAGCTGAGCGATAAGAATAAGATGCAATTGGAGCAGGTTAATGCGCTCCTGCTAGAGAAGGTGAACCTGCAGAACGACGGTATTGGTCAGAGGGAGAAGATGCTCCAGCGTGAGCGAGTTTTTGGGTAGGTCGTTACAGTTGTTGATGGTGGTCTGCATCGCTGACTGCTACTAGTGACCTGCGAGCGTCGATCTCTGGCAAAGATGTACCAGAAGATATCAAGGCAAGGTTATTGAGTTTGCATGAAGACAATGTGGTTGTCAAGGAGCAATTAAAAACCGCTCAAGATAAGCTTGCTAAAGCACGGCAGGTACGTGATACGGACAAGAATGGTTGTTGCTCGCTCAGCCCTGTTCTTAGTTTATCAAGTCTCAGGACAAGCTTTTCAAGGAAGAGCAAGCCAAGCTCGGTGGCCGTTCGACGGTGAGTTTAAGTCTACTTGGCTGATCAATGTTCTGATAGGTGAACTTGTCGTGCAGTCCTCTTTCGAAGAGGCCGAGGGAAGCTTCCAAACTCAGATCAAAGATTTGAAGGAGGAAGTTCAACGCGAGAAGGTACGCGGGCTTTGTGTAATAAGGCGTCTGGTCGGAACTCATGAATCAAACCATCCAGGCGATGCGCCTCGACCTCGAGAAACAGTACCGCAAAGAGCAAGCGCTGATGTCTAGCTGCGTATTCAACCACGGCATGGTGAAGCTTCGAAACGCATCAAATCCGTCAAAAGGCAAGCCTGCTCCCACTGCATGGCTCCCGCGACAACGGAATGCGGTGAGTTGATATATCTTTTGTACTCTTACCTTGAAGCCTCATGTGGTTCTCTAGCTTGGATCTGGACTTCAACGGTAGTCCTCTCTTCACCACGACCGCTCATACATACATCTGGTTTTTCTGTACCTAATTTGGAGGACCCTCATAGAAGATACCCCTGCATTGCATTCCTTTGTTTCATGTATGATATTACTTTTGCCATCCTTGCAGATAGATGCATAATTTAGATTGGACTATGACCTAGACCGACAAAGTGACAAACAATAACCAAGACTCATGCTGTTCGTAAAGCACCACGGAGAGTCAAAAAGACAATCCGGTAGCGACTGGACAAAGAGAAAGAGTTTGGGAAAAAAGATCCCCCGACGACGCAAGCCAGAAGTGCAGTAGCAAGGTCATCATGTCCCTCGAGTTGCAAGCAGAGCTCGTGAGAACAAAGGCGGCAAAAATTTGATAACCAAAGAATGAGGGCGGTGCCCTCATAATAGTGGTTAAACTATTAAGAACAGATACTACACTTGATCTAAGCCAAAAGGCCAGAGTGGTAAGGATTCAAATCTTGACCAGATCCCTTTTATATCTTTGGGACTAGCGCACGGACCAATTTTGACTGATTTACCCGATTTGGAATACAACACGGCATGACTTCCACCATCGTGCATAGTCTGGTCCATATTGATGGAAGCTTTTGTGAAGGTGGAGGTCAAATTCTTCGCAACGCTGTCGCTCTCTCTGCACTATTGTCAAAACCAATATCCATACCAAATGCTCGGCATAATCGAAGACCTCCAGGCCTCCGAAAACAGCATGAAGCAGGTACTATTACTATCAGCTTCGTATTTCAGTGTAGCTGACTCCGACTCGCAGGGATCAATCTTGCAGCCACCATCTGTTCAGCTGAAACAGAGGGCGTGCACTTGGCATCCACCAGCGTCACCTTCAAACCCGGGAAAATAGAACTACCTAAAACATTAACTGCTGACCCCGGAACAGCAGGCTCGACGACCTTGCTTCTCCAAGTCTCCTTGCCGTGTTTACTATTTTCTTCTTCGCCCACTTCGCCTTCCCAACTAACTCTCTGCGGAGGGACAAATGCGTCCCAAGCTCCTCAGATAGATTATACCCAACATGTTTTCTTGCCCTTCATGAAACGTCATTTTGGCGTGGACATTGCGCTTAAAATTATGCGACGAGGTTATTTCCCCAAAGGAGGCGGAGCCGTGTTTTGTAGTGTTCCCTCTCTCACCAGGGCACTTCCACCAGTGACCCTCACAGAGAGGGGCCCCGTTCGGCTCGTCAGAGGTGAAGCACGGGTCGGAGGGCTTCCTTTCATTCTTGCCGAACGCATGAAAAACGCTGCGCGTGCTACACTACTCGCCGGAGGTGTTTCTCCTACTGCTATCCGGATTAACGCGGTCAGGGAGTCCCAGGAAGAGGCGTTCGGCAGTGGAGGGGGAATCTTGCTACTCGCTGAGACTGACAATGGGTGCGTGATAGGAGGATCTTCAGTTAGCACCAAGAGTAAGGCCCCAGAGGAGATTGGAAATGAAGCTGCAGAGGAGCTCCTTCGTAATCTTCGTCATGGTGGATGTGTGGATGGATATCTACAGGTTAATGATTTGTTCAGTTGCAGTTGAGTCCACTAAATTTTGAACCTCAGGATCAGATCATTATCTTCATAGCTCTAGCAAAGGGCCGCTCAACAGTCAAGACCGGACCTCTCACAGATCACACAAGGTGAGGTGGTACTTTCGACATTAATCTACCATAACTCGAATCTTTCCACAGAACTGCAATAAAAATAGCCGAACAAATGACCGGCGCTACATTTCATCTCGAGGAGAATCCATCAGGTTTCGTCATTATAAGCTGCGACGGCATTGGTTATACCCCTTCACTGTGACCCATAGAATAAATAATATATGTTGTGCGGCGGTGTAAGTTCATGGAATGATATTACAGGGTCAAATCGGCTGGCCAGCCTCCAGTACATACGAGTGTTCGTGAAATCCAACATACTCTATTGGTTCCAAGATAGCAATGTCATATCTCCCAAACGTCTGCAGCGCATTTAGTCATGGTCTCGTAATACATGAAAAAGCAGCATACCTCGGCTTGAGAAGGTGTCTGATAGTGCCCGCCAATGCGAGGAACACAAAGACACACGATGCTGCAACATAAGCCCAACCCAAGAACGGGTTCTTCCCACCTATCCAAGACACCGTAGAAATAACAAGAGATTTCGTTCCCTTGTAGCCCTGAACCGGATAATCTGGAAACAAGCACAGCAGTCAGAAACAGAAGCAATTGCGGTGACGACGACCATACTCATGTAGACAAGGACTTGATATTGGCCCGCAGGTAGGGTGGCAGTATCGTTGCGCCCATAAAGCTTACTAAACGTCGGCAAACCTGACGTCCGCATCCAGTTTTGGAAGTGCTCGTCCTCTTGCAGGTTTGGTATGGAACTAACGTTGGGGTAGCTTGGGTAGCGCAGCACCCAGTTCGGAGGAGGTACGACTTCATCCATGTGATCGGCGTAACCTGACGTTGCGCTGTATTTCTTAGCCTCGCCAGGCCAGGCGATGCCAGAATCTGTGAAATTGTAGTAGGAATTGCCTGACGTGTCATTTATATGCGTAAGGCCAGAGAAAGTGTCTGTACAATATTAAGACATCAGAATCCAAGACATTGCACTACACTCAGTGGGACGCACCATTAAAAACAGAGTTAGCAATCAATCCGCAGGGGTAGATAGCCTTGTTGTCTGCAGTGGAGCCAAGAGGATTGCAATTACCGCCACCGAGAGAATCCGCAGAGACATAGTCGCCCTGCAATTGAGACGTATCCAAACTCTGAACATACCGACGGTTGTTCTGGTAGAAGTTCGTGAGTTTGTAATACTGGAATACTGGGGCAGCCAGGTCGGATACGACGTGGAAATTGATGTAGCATGAATGCTTCTGGGCCTCCGGTACTGTGTCATTATAGTAGTAAGCGAATTGAGGAGTTGTGATTGTTTTGTCCGAGTCTGATGATCGTAGGTTATATGTGTAAGGCATGTTCGTGAAGGTGAGGTTGGTGGGCGACGTCGAACTTGACTGATTCCAGCAAGTCGTATAGTCGAATGTCATTTCCGACACCTTTTCGATCACAGTTGTAGATATTGAACGGCACAAGGTAACATGGAACTCACAAGACTGCTACCCCACACCAACAAGCCGCCTATCGGTGCAAAGATAATCCCAATAATGAACAGGGTTGGGAGAACAGTTTTTGGCGTCAAGATAGGCTGCCACGCCTTGAGACGCTGTTGTTTGAACGCAGTATCTAGCGTAATAAGCAGACGTCAGAGTCTTCCCAAGGTTTCTCGAGCAGGTGGACTAACTTGCTGGTTTCCTCCAGCTTCCTTTCTCCTTCTGACTCCCTCCATTCTGATCCTGGCCATTGTCAGAGGAGTCACTACGCTTCTTTGAGCGGTTGAAGAGAGGCATGGTTGGTCGTGGTGAAGTCCAAGTCGCTTTGGCTTGGCTTTGGCGCAGTCACGGATGGTGCAGCCGAATGCTTAGTAACGCCGAACGGCTATGCGTTGAGGCGCGTCACTAAACGCACCCGCCGCAAACCAGTTCCGCTATTCATCATGGTATCCGCTTTTCTCATAGATGCTATCAACGATCCTACAAAAGTAGTCCAAGAACTCTATGAAGAGCACACCGGGGATATCGATCAGTTCCCCACTGTCGTCGCTCGCCATTTTTCGGATGTCTTTCTACATTCCGATGATACGCTTCGCGAGGTTGGGATCTATAGAATCTTGTATTGATAGCACCGTCATTGATCCTGATATACTAGGTCCTTCCGTTGGATGTGAACCATCCCCCCGAATCATTCGCACATAGATCTTTGGTACGATTTCATGCCATGGTACAGGACACTTCGTCTTCACCGGAGATGTATCTCGCGAGTTTGAACAAAAATAAATGTGGTGGTTGGGGGATCTCGCAGAATATGCCTGCTAGTGAATGGCCTTCGAGTTTTGATTACTGTGACCTTAAAGAGGCTACTGCTTTATGGGCTGTCACGGTGCCAGGACAGACAGATTGGAGAACAGAAGAGTTGACTGCCCGATCACATTGTGGTATGTCTGACGTGATGAATTATGTGCTTGTGTCTGACCTTCACAGGTAGCTCTTCAAGTCAAAGCCCACCTCAGCCTCATAAGTATCCCGTGCCAAATGCCCCCCATATCGGCGTCCAAGTCAAGGTAGACATGCATGATGATGATTGACCAGAAACCTGGCTCATTTGTGATTCGTTAGATTTATGACAACGAGGCCGCTCAGTCACTCAAAGCTACTGACATTGTCACGTTTATTGGAATTTTGACGTCCGAGTCGTGAGTGCACAGACCATCTTCGCGACTGATGCTCAATTTGGTGCAGTCTAGATTCGGAAGCTGTTTCTTCTCCGATGGTCCCATCACTTCATGTTCTGTGCCATAAAGTGCAATCTATAGATGATGCGTCGCCTACGGAAGAGTTAGCGACTGTCCGAGATGATCTCATCAAATGGATTTCTGACGAGGCCCTTGGAGGCGATGAAGTCGCAGCACAGTGGCTTGTTCTCGAGCTTTCTGCAAAAGTGTCAGTTTTTTCCTTATCTATCAAACGAATTCGTCTCATACCAGATACAGCTACACTCGAGCCACACCCCTCCTACCTCCGTCTCTCACTTTGTCACGTTTTTCTTCACCCACACCATCATCACCCTGCACTACCTACTCTTCACCATGTGCTTTCTGATTTGCTACCACAGTATCTTACCGTGCCCCTCTCCCTGGATCTTCTTAACAAGGAATCCTTTAGTCCTGAAAGCAAGGATGAGGATTTGCACTCGGGCTATCTGCAGGTTCCTCAAGGTACTACCTTATTGCTAACAGAGAATGGCGTGCAAGAGGGCAAGCTTGTAGAAAAAGGTATCAAGTCAAACAGTTCCTTCTGGCTCTAGTGTCGTATGCTGATATGGCTTTGCAGGCATCATGAACATCAGGGCTGTCCAGGAAGTCATGGATGCTCAGACGCTCGAGTACTCCTTCCCATTCAGTAAATTCTCATTTCCGACAGACATAGTTACGATTGTGCTATGTGATGGGCGGAAAAGTGCCTTCTTCCAGGTAATATAGATATCTGCCTTCATTATGATTCCAAGCCACTTGCTCATGCCTTCCGTGACAGACGGGATTCATCGTACCTCTGAAAACGAAACCCTCGCTCAAGGACAATCTGTATAAACCGAGAGACCAGATAAGGACACCCGATACCGTAAAGCTGGCGACATACCGTTCTTTCCTGGCGGCTGCAAAACGGTGTTTTGGATCTGTTCAAGTCGCAGAGGAGACGTCGCGGGTATGTGCGATATCGGCCAGCGCATCTTGCATGGCTGACTTTCAAATAGCACATTCAAGAAGACTTTGTGCGTCAACGCCAAGAAGACCCATCTATAACAGCGGACGATCTCATTCACTTGATGAAGGTAGCAAGGTGCGGAGTTTCTCATTGATGTCTGTTTGGCGTTCATGCCCATATTTGAGACAGATTGCTAGCGGCGTCTATGCTTGGGCGGGAAGTCACCGTTGACATATGGGAAACGTCGAAGAAGCTGGATGCTAGTCGAAGGAAGAGATTGCCATGATCCAACTCCCCTTCGTTGATTCTATCTGGTCACAGCATTAGCCGTGAATATCAACATCATTCGTACTTAAGATCCCAGCAATACTAGCGGTTCCCGCAGACATCTGGACATAAGTGGTTGCAGAGCATCTTATCCGAATTGCTCGATACAGGTGGGAATTATTGATGATGCCTGCACGCGCTAGAATAGCCTATCTGGGAGACAAGAATTGTCGTCCTAGTCCATCTTGCGGATCCACTGCCAAGCCATGTCATTACACTTCAGCTTGTGCACGCGGCGAGCGTTTGGGCTTTATGGCTACAGTACAGAATAATGTGACAAACAACATGAAATGAGTTTACGATATAATCATGGCCGACCTAGTCCGTTCTCAGCGGCATTCATCCAATCTTCTGCTAGATCATCTACTACACCACCAAGTAAGCTATGCACAGCTTGGCGGTTGCTCCCACTGCCTTCGAGGTAGTACTTGATCTAGGCCGGTTGATACGGGGAAGCTCAGACACATCACTACATGAAAACATGCAGGAGCGCTTACCTTTGGTTCGGTCCCACTTGTCCTATGCAGAAAATGAACATGGCGTGTGGTTGCAACTACAGTCACCTTAGCTCACCTAATTGTCAGGACAATCCGAGAGTCGTCTGAATCGGATGATGCTCTGAACTGAATCATATGTCCCAAGGACAACGGTAATTTGGGCTGATAAGTGGGTGCGTTCGTGCTATCGTAGCCGTGCCCTTCCGTTAGATCGACAACGCTCCGTATCCTGCAACCCGCCAATTGCGGACGGATAGGAGCGTCCTTGAGATGAGCCCTGTCAATAATGATGTTTATTCTTTGCCATTCTAATGACGCCGAACGATACCATATCACCAGAAGAGCGAATCTTTCTAAAGATATTATCTATGACAAGAGGATCAGTGCAGACGAAATAGCTGTTGCTCGTCTTTTTGGAATCTATGAGATGATATCCACGGCGACGGACGAGTGCATACGGACCTCGAAATATCCATATCTTGGTTCACCATAAACTCGTGGCCACGGCAATGGTGAGGATGGCTCACCTTCGATATAGTTCTTGCAAATGCGCGCTTACTGTGGTGCCTCGCGCCCGTAAGCTTGCAGCAAGTTGTGCAAATACCATCTAGACGATCTAGGTGAGAAAGAAAAAAAAAAGGTTAGCAGAGTGACTCACAGTTGCGGCCACCCCATCTTTATCTCTGATTTCAGAGCCAAACATGTACCCTATGGCTTCCTCATATCCAAATGGTACTTCATACCCGGCCTGGACAAGATCTAGAGCAGTATTGCCAATGAACTTGAAGCCTAGGACGACACGAATCGTTTCCAGCGCCTCGCAGAAACCTATTATGCAGTGCACACCTGTAAGACAATCAACAAAGCGAAACCCTTCGACTTGCGCCATGGCTTCAATCATCTTGGAGCTGACCTGTCGAAGCAACCATGGCCAACTTGCCTGAAGATTTGTTCAGACAGGCTGGCAACGAATCATGCCGAACATACCTATTGGCTTGCTGGAAGCTTTGTAGGTCTCGAATACATGATAGGCAAACAATGTTCCGAGTTGATCACCAGTGAATGTCACCCACTTTCCGTCACTATAGAACGATCTCTTATGAAGTCAACCAGTACAAAGAGCCTCATGCATACCAATTTTCAGCCGCAGAGAAGCGATCTGCATCCGGGTCCTGTGCAAGGACGTACGATGCCCCTTTAGCGTTCGCCGTGGCTATGGCTAGATCCTGAAAACAGGTCAGCCGGTGCTCCAACACACAAAATTCAGCATACAAGTGCGCCTGCAAGCTTGGTCGTGAGGGCTATAATCACAGGAAATGGTGGGAGTCATTACCCTTTTCTTCAGGGTTTGGGAACTTCACCGTTGGAAATTCGGGATCAGGGTGTTGTTGTTCTTTGACAGGCGTATAAGGCAGAAATCCGGCAATTTCGAAGGCTCGAGATGCAAATGGATCCCCAACGCCATGCATGGATGTGTTTACAAACGCCACTGAAGCTCCGTCAAATCTGATGGCTCATTAGGGTCAGAATGACAGGTGGTAGCCAACAACTTACGATAATATCTTTGCGCGCAGATTACTGAGAGAATGGAAGTACCCTTTTTTCATCTCCTCCGTATAATCGAAGCACAGGCCCGATTCAATTACTTGAGAAGCATCATGCACTCTGGGCTCCAAATGTTGCATAATGGACTGTGCGATTCCAACATCGTGCGGCCCTATGATCTAAAAGAGGAAAACGCTTAGTGCTAAAGGATAGAAACACAAGCCACACGTGTCACTTGGACTGCATTTTCCCAATAAACCTAGCCAATGATAAGTGGAGCGTCACGAGAGTTATAATCAGGGTCGAACCTTGTAACCATTGTCTTGCTACAGGAGAACTTCAATAAGCTACAGATTCCAAACACAATGTCTGCCTGACCTTCGGGTTATGACTTGCTAGATCGGAAATCAGCTTGAAGGCGCGCAACTCTGTAACAAAAAGTGCAACGTACCTGTGATCATGACTCCACAGGCTGCATTGAGCGCTTTTACGGAAAACGGAACCCTTCGAGCACGGTAGATCTGCATCAGAAGTAATCGCAGAAGGGTTAATGCCATACATCGGAGTGTGTACCAGTCCATTGTGCAGGTAAACCTTGACATTGTTGGCGATGAAAGCAGCTGTAGTAAGCTGAGCCCATCTCTCTGAGTTGTGCCGGTGGTCATGTCCTACGACTACTCCACGGGTAGCAGCATTCTCAACGTGTTCGAGGACATACGCGCACAAGCCCTGTTACAAGGGGTTAGCTACGTCGTATTCTCGACGATTTTAACGTCTTGGTCAACTCACCTGGGATGCCTGAATCACGATTAGGTCATTCATCCGAGACCATCCAGCCTCCATCTTTCCCCTCAGACCTTTGTAAATTTAAACCTCAGGATGTCAGACTGAGCTGACGATGAACATCCACACCTGCGGTGCCGAATTCTATGCGTGTCCTATGCACATCTCATGATCAGTATGCCTTTGCCGGGACCGTAATGCTAGAGTGGTAACACACCTCATACGTCTTTCCAACTCGTCCACGGCGTTATCATTCCACAGGTGTTCCACATCCTTTCTTGTAGATTCATTCTAGAGTAACTGTGAGCAACATCCAAAGTAGCAGCCTCTAGGACGCACTGGGTCGAGGCGAAGCCACTCCTTAACAAGATCCTCCAAAGGTGCACTCATCACTTAATGATAAGATCATGCACTAGTTCAGTACTCAGTCACGGTGGTTATGATCGAAGTCAAACTATTGGTTAAATATAGATGTGAATGCTAAGCGATAAGGAACTCGGCAACCTGAATGCTCGCGCTATGATCACTTCAGCAGTGACTCCAAGGACTGGCTCTCTCAAGGACCGCTCTGAATTTCAGAACAGACCCTTTGCACATGGCGTGAAAAATTGTGGATTTACTTTCAATTCGTCAACGAACGAGGGACAAGATAGTGTTAATAGCGTGTGCAAGCGCTTCCTTTGTAATGAACAAGGATCATATACAGCGCGCAACGACATGTCGACGCATACATAATATTCATGGCGTCACTCCTGGTTGGCATCCATTCACAGCTCGGTGTCCCATGGTGACCGATAAAGGATAGTCTCAAAATCCAACGACAGGAGGTCTAAAAGCTTAGCCTGCAGTACTCTTGGAACGCCCATAGAGACATCTACCGAGCCCTTTCGAGGTCGCCAAGTGCCGTCGCATAGCATAGGATTCGATTTGAAGGGCCGGAAATAGAACTTCAAACTCCCAGTTGTGAAGAAACTGGAAGAATCGGGAAAACCAAAGTGAGCGTCACACCAATCAATCCTGCCAAGTGAACAGTCAGGGGAGTGTTTAAGAAAGACCCAGAAAACTCATACGCAACATTAGAATTAACTGTCATTACGCCAGGGCGCGAAGCAAAGAAGAAAGATTTCCCAGCATTAGCAGTAGCTAGCATGATATCGCTTGCCACAGCCATCCAATCCTCGAGAAATATCCGGTTACGGCACCGAACAATCGATTCCCGCACAGCAATGGCGATATCTCGCATATGAAATGGCAGGGTCCCGGTCGGGATCTATAGGCGGATGAATAAACACTCGCTGCGTGGAATGTGCCACAGACATTCTGGATAACATTCCCTGCAACATTGCTTGCAATATAGTGAGCTTCAACACGCCGAAACTGCAGTGTCTAGCGGTCAGAAACAATCTAGAACGTTTACAAAAAGCCTCACATTGGCAACGTTTGTGACCATGCGAATGGGCCTAGGCATAGAACGATTCAACAGAGTGACGATATATGCTGTGAGGCAATCGTGCCACGAAAGATAGCCTTCCCCATCAGCACTGAGCATAGAGTGGAGTGCATGAAGATGATGCTCATGAAATCTCCATCTTAGGTTTCCCAGATCCTCGCAGGCCTCGGCATATTTGGCCTCGAGCTCATCGAAAGGGTAAGAAACCCACAAATGAGGCATTAGTGGAAGAAAGTCTGAGGACGTAGATGGCTCCGGGGTTCGGTACTGGTGTTTATCGAAAGTTGGAGGAGAGAAATCTGGCTCGACACTTTGATAGAACAGGGATAACGTTTGCATGAACCGACAAAGCGCTACTGCGTCTCCTGCCATTTCCGACACCGCTAAGAAAATAATTCATAAGTCATGTAAAAGACCTACCGAGAGTGTGGTGCCAGGACACCGCAAGACATGTCCTATCCTTGAACGTTGTTATCTTGAAACGAACCAAAGAAGCACTACCATTGACGATGGTAGCATCTGGCGGTAGTTGGCTGAGCAAGGGAGAAAGGTCATCTTGAATGACCCAGTCTCCTTGAATAAAAGAGGTGGACAACTCTTCCTTGCGATCCTCGGCCTCAACAGCCAGTCCAGAATTTGTCAGCTGGATCTGAAGTCTTTAAGTCTCGGCCGGCGTGCATAGCTCCATAACACTTACAAACCAACGACCGCCGGTTGTGCACAGTTTCCCCGCGGCATGAGGGTACATTTGCAAAGTGCTTGCCAGGGCGTCGTGGAAACGCTCAATGTCAATGGACCCATCGAATGCATGGACATTGTCCACCTAAAAACGGTCCTCTTATCAGAGGGACTGAGAACCAAGCGGCTGAGTGAAACTCACAAAGTGCAGCCATAAGTCGTAACCCGGAAGATCAACAGACTCGCTGCCTGCAAGTATAGTGGGTCCCTTGGGAACAACGTACTGAATGACTGGCGGAGACATTATCGAGCCAGGCAAAAAAAACAGACCAGTACATTAGTTGAACAATGACAACCCAGTAGATATAGTACGCGTAACATAGCTGGTCGAAAAAATGTCGGCGGTTCCAAAGTTGGATGAAAAATCACCCTCTTGCAAAGAGAATGAATATACGTGATTTGAATACCGAAGAATTGCAGATCCATTGCGGGCCCATCGGCTGAGAGCATCGCGAGAAGGCATACGATAATTGCCTTGATCGACCATTTGCCGAGCCCCTTGGAAAGTTGCGACACGGGCGTCGTATGACATGCACATATGGCGATGAGCACGGCATAACTCGAAGGATCTTTCGGCCGAGATTGTAATGTTATCGGGGTTCACAATAACTTCCTGACGGAAACCAAAGCAACAAGTGAGAAGATGATGTTCAATGGTGTGTCATTTTCGAAGTGAATTGGTGATGGCAAGCGACACGATAACGGGCCCCAGATCGGCGGTGAAGGAATGCTATTTGTATATGTACGTGACTATAAGGTAAAAAAAACAGGGAGTCAGTACATGCTCAAGAATAGAGGCAACTGAACCATAAGCAAAACTGCACTGTGCAAACCAATGGTCAAAGGCGCTGTGTCAAAAGGTTACATTCTCGAACACAAGCCAACCATGAAAGTGGATCGTCAACGTCGAAGCGGTGCAGAATAACAAGATAACCGCACTATACTGGAAGATGAGTACCATCGTGTCATTGATTGGTCGGCAGCGGCACAACTATGATTCAATGGGCTCCTAACATAGCCAAACAAAACAAACACCCTATTATCAAGATTTATGTTAACTTTCGATGTGACAAGATACATATAATCTTCTACATCCTGTCCTTTTTGTACTGCATGCCAACGTGTAACGTGTGGTCCATGGAACTCATCCACGCATTCTCTTGGGTGGCTTAGGTTCTAGACATCCTACATTAAAACTTAGATGGATAGCAAGAAATGAAACCTTACTGGGTTTGTTTGGCTCAAATTCGTCACCACCATCAGTTGCAGATGAAGACGTGCCGCTCAATGAGACAGTAGCAGTGTCAGAAGTCTGTCGTCGTAATCGGCGCTTCGGGCGAGGTCCCTTGGAGCTTGCTGCAGTGTGTGCAGGTGCCGTCACGGGTGGTGCAGCATTCGAATGTACTGCAGCGCTGACAGCACTCAATCGCGGTAATCGTATCTTCAACGTTGGAGTAGCAGACTGGGTAGACTGGGTGATTGTGACCGAGGCCTTGGGAGTAATAGGTGTATTGACTTTGTGAGGATTGGAGGTGGGCAATACCGAAGCACTACTCAAGTCAGAAGTATCAGGACCCACAGACCGGATCATGGAACTAGATGCCGGCGCAGGGGCCTGAGCGCTTGCCACGAATGCACCCTCATCCTTTGCTGTTTCCGATGGTCTGGGCTTCCGGCGTTGTCGAGTAGTCCTCGTAGACTTCCCTTGCTATAAAATTCGGGAGCATACACACGTAAGTGACAGACCAGAAGAAATCCACAGTACTCACAGCCTCTGCTTGCTTCTCGGAGTTATCAGGCAGACGTAAATTGACTTCCTCCGCCTCCTGTTTCACCGCAGTTCGCGCCCTCTTGGGCCGCGCCGGAGCCGACTGGTCAAGAGGAGTTTGTACTGATAGCTTGGCGGCGGAACCATTCTCAGTCGCAAGGAGAGCGGACTTCATAGGTGCTTTGCGCTGCAAGAATCCTCCTCAGTGACACGAATATACAGGTGATCAGTTAACCAGTCGACATACCTTGTTAGTAGACGCTCTCAACGCCTCCACCTGCGGGGGTAAAGGTATCGTAGGTGGTAACTCTGCTTCCGTTTGCGTACTGGAATCAACGAGATTCTTTGAACTACCAACAGGAGCATGTCTCTGCTCTGTTTGTATGGTCAGCATTCGCTGGAAATTGCACAATGCCTATAAACTGTGTTAACCCTGAAACGGAGTGATGATGGAAGCTCTCAAACGGTTCTTACCTGCGCAGCATGCAATTCATCTCGTGAGATAAGAGGACCTTCTGGTAATGTGCCAATGCTTTCATCAAAATCATCCAAAGAGCTCAGGGACGTGAGAGGCGAAGACATTGTGGACACCGGTGGCCTATTTCCGCATTAACGACCGTTACTCGTCAATGCCACACACATACCTTTGATCAAGATGCTGATCTTTGCTGATCTTATTCCAGAAATCGAGCATGATCACTTTCTCCGGAACCCTATATCTTCGGCCACTGATAAGGATTTCATCAAAGACTAACTTCTCTGCCATCGAAGTGCCCTGTGGGTGGACAACGTCGATGTTGCCATTATTAAACTGGCGTGGTTTTGTAATGTCTATCATGGGTGGATTTTGCTTGGGAATGCGACGCTTGGGTTGCTGGGAGCACAGTAAACCATGCAAGCCCAACCGAAGGACTGTGAGGACTTACCAAAACGTGATCTGCGTGGTTGGGACACATCCACTTCTTATTGAACGGAGGCATAGCCACGAGAGGCGGGTCGAGACAATCTAAATGCCAATGAAGACTGCAGTAATCGCAGGACACCATGCTTCTCCAAACTTCGGGAGTGGCACTATGGGAGGACGAGGTTGACCTCCTAGAACGCTTTGCTGGTGGAGCAGATACATCAACAACACTGGGAAGGGTAGATGTTCCGCAACGGAAGCAAAGTACAGGGACACCGTTCTTGTCCTTAAGGCGATAAGGTTCGCGTTCCTCGAGCTGACCATGGCGACTACAAGCATTGAGTAACGAATGGAGACATGTGGAATTTCACTCTCACTTCAGGCGAGGTGGTTTGACCTCTGAGCCATCAACGTAACACCCATTGGAACCAGTAGCAACTAGTTCATCGACGATGAGACTATTGACATATAAGCAGCCATGAAGAAACATACCATCCTTAAAGAAACTTCTAACATCTTCTGGAAGCTGGAATTCCTTCGGAATGTTTGTCTGTGCTTGATGAATGAGGGGCGACATGAAGGAAGGGGGGGTTTGATCGGTGGACGCTGTTGTAGCATGGGATGAAATCCTTGTACAAAGTCCTAGCAACAGAACAAACACACCTTCCGAATCGTGCAACTGGGACAAAACCACCTCTCGCCGAGTTCCGGCAGGTCCACGGTTTCCATTGGTGGGTCCAAGCACCAGAGATGGAAGGCTCGTGGGCATCCATCACAATATACCAGAGCTCCCAATGACCGGCAGGATGAGCAGTGATCTTCGTTCAACTAAACAACACAGCAATGAGGGGTATGATCGCAAGTAAGGGACCAAATGCGCACCAGTCCAAGTGAAGGGTCAGGAGAGAGCGAGTACGTGGCCATTGGTTCCTCCTTGATCTTTACAGAGTGTTTCTCAGTCTCTTTTCCCTTTCCTTTGTCTTTTCTCGGTCTTCCTCTTCCATTTGATACAACTGGAAGGGGCAGTTGGGGCGGCAAGGGTTCATCGAGAGCAGGAGCAGAGGTAGCTCGAGAAATTGAAAGCTCGTCAAAGTCATGGTTTATCGGAAAAGGGTCGGAGTCTTGGAGCGGGGGTATACTGGGTTGGCGAGAAGATGCTTCAGCGACGATGAGATCCGGCGGAGGAATGGCACTGCTATTCAAGTTACGAGCAGATGCACGTTGAGCCCTTCCATTTGCGGTTCTTTTTCAAGGATAAGCGGACAGCGACGTGGCAAATTTTGAAGGGGGACGAGCGTGGATAGTTTTTGCAGCATAACAGCAGAGATGATTAGCGTCGGGACCAGGTGGAATACAATGACTTACCCTTTGTCGACCCTAGCACGTTTGCGCCGTTGCCCTTCAGCATCTGAGGCACTGAGGGCAGTAGAAGCCATTAATCCAGAGTAGGTGGTGCCTGGATCAGATGCTGGGAGATATGACACAAAAGCTCCTGGTTTCTTCGGGTCGCGCTTGTGCGCAGCCTGCTGAACAGACAGCAGGGAAGGTGGACCTGGTAAAATTTCAGTTGAAAGAGACGGATCTGAAAGACCCTCAAGATGAGGCGGTTGCACCACCGGTTCTCCAGGTAACATGTACACCGGAACATCCGCCATGGAAGTCATGATTGAAAGTGAAGAGAAAGTCGGGTTACAGGAGTCCGTCACTGGTTCCACCTCTGAAAGTGAATTCGAAAGGAGCAGTTAAGGTAATGAGGGGCAATGGTCGCAGCACTCGCTGAGGGTGCTGTGACAGTAGTGGCAAGCGAGATGTGGAACGACGACATCAACATCGCATTCAACCACAATTTTTCACGAAACTACAGTACAACTTTTGTCCGTCGATACAACAACTACTCATTTCACAACGTTCACTCATTCAGGTGTGCTTCTTTGGTTTCCTGTACCCAACATCGCTCCAGATAAAACCAAATGAGAAGATGCTTCAGGAAAACAAGACAGAGAGACTGCTCCGCTAGCTCACGTAGTGATATTTGGTCGTATCAGTGCACTGTGGATACGCGTTGTAAGTCGTTCTGGAAGAACCCATCGATAGTGACCTCTGCGCAGGAGGAAAATTAGCCCGCCTCCTCCAAAGGTCGTTGCGTGGGATAAATAGGCAAACAGGAACTACTGAGAGCATAACTGTTTGAAACGAAAGGTGCTCCCGCAAGCGATATTCAAAACGATGACGCTCGTCGCTCATCGGTAAATGGATCCCAGAAGAAATCACGAACTACGCGCAACAAAGTAGACCTCGTCTATACGATAGAACGATGCTGATCTGCTGATCTGCTGATCTTCAGCATCGACCTTGCTGGGAATGTCGCTATGGATCATAACCCGTCGGTTGACCGGCAGTCCATGCGTTTTTTATCTCTCGAAGCATGTCGTCTATGAGTGCGGGACCGTCGATGGGCTTCCCACTGAGAGCCATCTTCGACCACTGAAGGGCTGCGACGGATCAAGCGTACACGCAGGGCACACCGCCTTCTTCCGCGCCCGCAATATTTCTGTGGGACTACCGAACTGTTGGCTAAAATATCGAGGATCCCAGAATGCGATGGACGTGACATCGTCGGTTTGACGGTCGATCGTCAGCATCTCCCGCGCCCTTTCAGACAGCCGATAGGGGGTCGACCAATGTCTCATTGCAAGGAAAGCTGTCAGAAAATCATCAGTGCGAGCACGAGGTGGACAGAGAGCGCGTCCCTTCAACGACACGTCCACCTTGGTCGAGGAAACGCAGATGTCCATGGTCGCCGAGTTTCTCCGGGAGCAATTCACGCCCCTTGACATTTGATGTACAAAAATAGTAAACTCACCAGTGGCGTCTAAAAGGTAAAACCGGGAGGAGGGCAGCGCATGATGCCACCTCCATTCGGCTATAGATAGCAGGAAGAAGCTTGTTCTTCAAACCACCGTACTGACGCTTCGAATATTGCCCGTCCGTACCTCACTCGCCCACAGCGGACACAAACACCTTCTCGGAGGGCTCTGCAGAAGCGAGGTAATCATGAAACTCTTTATATCCTAGGTCTTGTAAGTCGGTGTCGTAGAAAAAAACCGGACGAAATTCACCGATAGACTGATAGATGCCGACAGTATAATCAGTCTGCTGCACGGTTGATTCGTCGGACGGCCATGCGACGACTCCGTCAGGCGAACTGCATGCGGGGGAGGAAGCGATCGCTCGGAGTTCTTTGATTTCATTCAACAGCCTTCCTGAACGAGCCTGTCAGTATGCGGTCGATCGATCAAGACCTTCCTGACCTTGATCATGTCGTCTACCCTTGCATCCAAGCGCTCATTCAAGATGGAAGGCTCGGCATAGAGCCAGAAACACAGGGTTCGATACCTGATGCTAGTTCGGTGAAAATGCCATGCCGCTGATAGGAGAATTCAAACCTCGGAATCAACGCCGTTTTAGACTGCTCGATGATAATTTCGCTCGGGGCCTTCCCGGTGTCTTTGATCACACGAAGGCTTCCCATCACTTTGCGCGTATCTCTCCAATGCCATCGCTGAGCGACTGGTTCGTCGAGCGCAGTGAGAAGTCTGTGCAGCAACATCGCATCCTGAGGGTGAGATGCTGCGGATGGAGGATGCTCTGGAAGCGCATTGAATAGCTCGAGGAGTTCGGGAGGCAAGTTGGCAATGGACTGCGCGACGGAATCCGATAACGTTTGCCCTGGAGTGGGCAGCCGACTCGGAAACATGAGATGTTGGATCCAATAAGATGTACCGCCGACAATAATCGGTATCATGTCCATCCGGTGCGTCTCGTCGATCTGCGATCAAGTTGAGATCGAAGTGACGGGGAAGATAAGCAGATAATTTACCGCCTTGATAGCGTCTTGGACCCACTGACCCACAACGTACTGCTCCCCAGGCTGCTTGAAGTCCATGAGAAGGTGCTCGACTCCCATTCTTTCCGCGACTGGGACTTTGTTTGTGATCACGTCCATCCCAGTGTATACTTGCATGGAGTCGGTGTTGATGATCCTCGCGCCTCTCCATCCGTGTATTCCTTGAGCAATCTTGAGAGCCAGCTCGATGGACAGCTTGGACTTTCCGACGCCCGTGGTCCCACAAATCGTGATTATGGGTCTGAGATTTGACATTTCTGAGGCAGAAGCGGGAGAACTCTAGCGTCTCGAATGTTATCTATAGTGTGTCAGTCGGATATATGTAGCAAAGCCCGCTATCATCATTTTGAAGTTCTGCCAGGTGTTCCGTGCCACTGGCACCCTTCCTTCGCGCGAGTTCTGCCGTGGACCGAAACTTGCGGAGATGTTATTTTGATATGATAACACAGTTTGCGTTTGGTTTGAATTCAATAGAACATGAAAACCGACGTCCCTGCTGGAGGAAGGCCCCTCGCGTTACTGATCAACGACAATTTCGAGCGTCTGGAACGAGTTTAGATCAGCTCGATTCGCTACTATTGAACATAGAAACATTGTGGCGACACTGATAAGTGATGACTGCATGGTGATCAATGAACCGAGTTACGTAGAATCAATGAACCGAGTTACGTAGAATCATTGATAGACGTCCAGAAAATGATGGAATTGAAGTCCGCGGGGGACAAACTGAGTACCAAATATTGGGAGTGAGTGGACACCGATGACTCGGATATTGTCAATGACAATGACAATGACACGGTTGTCGCAAATCCTGGATTGGACCAGTCAAGGTCCTAAATTCACGCCTAGCTGCATCACAGGAAGATCACGCTGTGACTACGGAGAAACTCGAGGAGATGACTTACGCACTAGAAGGGACCCGCGCTGGTGCTCGATCGTGTAGTTCGGCCCACGAGAGTCGGGGATCAAAATCAACTCACACGCTTGCTTGATCCGTGTCGGAAATTTCTAGGCACCATTTTAGGGCCTCGTAATACATTTTAAGGCATAATTTTCACACACTGCCTTTCAAGGTCTCGCAATGATGGAGATCATCTTTCAAGGCGTCTTAAAAGGGAACCGTTCCCACATTACGATGCCTTGCAATGACGGAAGTCTCAGACCAGATCATGTAAGCATTGTAAGGTCGACACGACATTGCAAGACAAAAATAGATTTCCAAGGACTGAGCGTGTTTTCTAATTCCATTCTACTGTCAAGATACGCACTTAGCTTTGTCACAGCATCACATGTCCAACAAACCGAAGCTATTATTTGTGACAGTCACACCAGTTTCGAGGCTGCTGAACCTAAATTGTGACAAGTGGTAAAACCATCAAAAAACATATCTAGTGCATCCAAAAGTCTTTGTACTGAGTGTTTGCAACATGTCTGTGCTTGCCATGACCCTCAGACTCAACCTCTGAGTCCTTAGACCCATCAGCCATAGATTGAAGCCCTGTCATGTCATCCAGGATCCCTCACTCATAGCTCTCCAACTTGTTGTCCACCAGCAAATTACCTGATTCATCAGTGCTATATTCATGAGGGACAGATGATTCACCCAATGCAATGTTTTGTAGAACAGTATCCACAGAAACATTGCTAGGATCAAGCTTGACATCTGTGGCATGTGTGAAAGGTGGCTCTACTTCTTCATCAGCCTTGGGAGTCTTATATTGAGCCATTTTGATGCACTCCCAAGTTGCAGTATCATTTTTCTGCACATCACACAGTGCATGAAGTGCTTCACGACTGGTGAGAAAAGATGATACTGGTAGTCAACAAATTGGTTTCTAGATTTGTGGGGAGGTTGAAGTCAAGCAGCTGAGTGACTGAGAGGGTATGTGAAGGAATAATTGCACAATACTTCATAGGAACACATAGGAGAGTAGATAGTATTTTGCTGTGACTCATTTCTGACTCCGAGTCACTGGCAGAGGCATTGTATGAACTGGGCATGGTGTTGAAGGGCTTTCAAGTTGATGGAGATTGTTTTAGAGCTCACCATCCAAGAGCTCACTGATGGATGCCTTAGTACCAAACATTGGAGGATCCATGTTGACTGACAGATGTGAAAATATGACTTGGAAGTGCTCCACACCAGTGAGCATGAGCCTGAGGATCATTTTGCCATATCCATGTTGCTGCAGGCACTGACAGTGGCTGGTAGTAGGTTGAAGCTATTTCTGAGGTATCACAGGTCACATGCATCTTCGAAGCTTCAAAGCTAAGGCTCAGTTGGTCACACCCAGATCATGTTGAAGGTAAGTGCATATCTCGACAGTAATGTCAACTTTGCTATTTTAAGTTTATCTAACATCTTATCTAAGACAACAAAATTTAAAAATACTGAAAATCTGACCATATCAGCACTTCCCTTTCCCCTTCCCCTTTCCGGCCTTTGCAGGAGCAACTGGTCTGGTGCCACCATGATGGGTGACATGTATGGCCTTACCAGGCTCAGGTGCAGAAGGTGACTTGGCAGCTGGCGGTTGAGGTTGATGAGAAGAGGTGCTTTGAGTCACTGATGCAGGTGGCTCACTGTTACCCAGTGACAACTGACTAACACCTAGTTGCAGCTGTGCAGTTGAGGACATAGTTTGTCCTTGGTTGATGGACATCAAGGTATGGTAGCTGGAGGTGACGTCAACCATTGCCAAGCTAGTGGGGGGTAAAGAAGTGAGAGTTGAAACCTGGGTAGGAGCATTGAGTTCATTGAGGAGATTGTCTTCCCATATTCAAGATGGAGAGGCAGTAGGAGAGTTGTTAGAGGCTGGTACACAAGACTGGTTGGTGATGCCAAAAACCTCCTTGTTGAAGTAGTCCATGACACTACAGGCCCATGGTGTGCACTTGAACAGGTGCTCTAAGTAGAAATCATAATCAGCTTGGTAGTTGATCTTGGTCTCTGCACCAATCACTGTGAATTCAGGATCGTGCATCAACAAAAAACGTGCCTGGAATCATCAATCAATAAGGATTTATAAGATGAATGAAAGGCGAACTACTCACCATAACAGTGGTGCCCACAATCAATCCTTCAGTTACACACTGTGCATTGCAATGCTGTCCCCTGGCCTTTTGACCTTTGATCTTCCCAGAAAGGATCTTCTTCCCATACATCTCAACATGAACAATCTAGTGAGTTATTGGTATGCCATATTATATGATGACTGGGTTGGTACTTACTTTGACAAGGACTGAACTCTTGAGGAACTCATCAGCTGTCATTGCATCAGGTCTTGTGAATAGAACAGGTGCCAACTGGATATATTCCTCCTTGCCATTTCTTTTCAGTAAAATGAGGTTGTTGTTGTTGTCCCACTTCCTGACATCTGTCTGAGATGCAAAGAGTGACGGATTGAGCTTGAGTGCTGAGAAAATAATGCCTGCACAACTCTTGATAGTGTGTATGATATTTGAATGCTCTGTGCTAACTGCAGTGCAAAACTAGTAATAATATAAGTTGTATTGATAAGATAAAAAAAAGTGAAAGTATGTACCAGAGAATCAAATGGCATGTACTTCTCCATAGACTTATAGAGATCCTTGGGCACACACTGGTACAATTCTGCTGTAGTGCCATTGAGCTTGGCCTCAGGAGAAGCCCAATGTGTAGGACTACACAGGTCAACATCAGGCTGGGGAGTCATTGGGAATATACCAGGGATAACCCAGAAATGATAGAATAGTGCATACATCTTCCCTTGGGTGGTGATCTTGGTATTAAGTGCAGATGTCTTCTTGAGGGTGCAGTTACAGCTACAGGTGGGAACAGTAGCCAAAAGTGTAAGGTAGTCCTTCTTAAGACCTCAAAACTCTACTTGTAGCATATTGTATGCTTGCTGAGCAGTTTTGAGAGCCTATATATGTAGAATCATGTTAGTACAATGAGAGAATAGAAGAATGGACAGATTTACCTTGTGAACTTTGTGCATTGGCGTGTCAGGCTGAGGAACAGATAGGACTTAACATTTCCATATCATCATTGCTTGAGCCTTCAGTGTCTGAAGTTTCAGTGTTGCTGACTGCATTGAGCTCAGCTTCAAAGTCCTCACCATCAGAGTCTCTGTGAGCCATCACTTTGAAACTGACAGTAATGAGCTAGTGAGGATGGGTGATGGTACACAAGTAGCAATGAACCTAAAGGTGCTGCTTATAAGGAGACAGTTCCATCTTAGCTATCAATGTGGCACTGGCTAGAGTGATGATAAGTTGTTATTATGACACAATACTGAGGTAGTGACCAAACTCACCTATGCATCAAGGCCCATCTGGATCAAATTTCTCCTTTATTGGTATATAGTCCATGGTAGTAAGGTGGATTCAGAAGGGTCTGGTTCAAAGGCAGAGCATCACTGAGCATTGTGCAAGATGCACAAGTGTTAATTAGTAATGAAACAATCTGGGTGACAAATTGATGATTACATTACCTGTGAACCTAATGTCACATTGACAATTCCACTGTGTGACAGGTGAGAAATGTGGATTGAGGGCCTGAAAGCAGATATTAACATTAATAGGGAGGGAGGACTGCCACCTGACCTTGAAATTGATTGGATCAGTGGTGACTGCATGTCCTTACCCTAAAATTGATCAGATTGGCAGCGACTGCAACTCCCAACCCCAAAATTGATTGGATTGGTGGTGACTATCATGGTCATAGTCATTGCCCTGATCCTGAGAGTGGTAGGTGGATGAGTCTAAGGGAGGAGGGGTTCTTACCATAGCAGCACCATTATTGCTGCTGCTGGCAAGAGTTGCTCCAGGCCTGGAAATGGCAGTCAGTAAAAGAAGGAGAGGGAGTAATGATGGACACACCATCACTTCTGGTGCTGAAATTGGACAGGCAAAGACTTATGTGATATCAGTCTTCCAGGCCCTAAAATCAATTGGATCAGTGGTGACTGTCCAAGGGTGAAGGGCAGGCAGTGAGTGGTGCAATGGACGAAATTTAAAGGTGCATGGGATGTAGTAGATGAAGCTAAGGATGCTCAGGTGGGAGGTGTATTAGTTGTATTAGCAAGTGATGAATGGGACTTACTGTAACAGCTAGAGGACTCATTTTCCAGGGGGTTGGTGGTGGCATTGATATGCACAATGCACTGTGGGTAAGTGCAACACTGATTCAGAGACTTGACAATGCGCAAGGCACTAAAGATGCAGAAGGTGTGTCTGAACCTGATCTCCCATCTTTTGAAGTGTCTGACATGGACAAAGGAGGTCCAGGTTGGTGGAGTAATAGGGCAATTTAGAGGGTAAGGAAAATAATAAGTTCTGGTGGGTGTATTGCGATGCTGCACTATGTTCAGAATAGACTTATAATTAGCATATGTAACATTGTAACTGTTGACAAGTGGCTGACTAAGCTTATAATATGGAGATTGCTGAGGGACTCTACTAGTAAGTTATGAAGATTGCTGAGTGCTGCATGTCTTCAAGGGGACCCCTCAGACTAATGAGAAGGATGGCATTGATTCACACCTTATAGCCCTGCTTGGAACTGGTGTACTTGATGCCACGATGTTCTTTAATTAAAATTTGGTCTAATATCACATGAGACATGAAACAAAAGTAATTGATGGAGCACTCACAAGTTCAAGTTCTTGCTGCTTCAAACCCAAAGCAATATTAAGCCCATTAACATCCTCCCTCTCCCTCTCCAGGTCCCACTCCTTGCACAACTGCACAATAGTCATGTCACATGCAGCACTTGCCTGCTGCATCTCATGCACCATCCTCCTCAGCTTCGCAACTTCATCAATCAGCGACCCCACGCATTCTTTACTCATGCCCAACATGATATCACTCTCTGCCTTTTCCTGCACTGCGACTTCAAGTTGCATGCACAGGTCTTTTTCTTGGGTTTGGAGATCTTGGAGGACATGGGTTTGGGAGGAGAAAGCACAGGAATTGTTAAGGTTGTGTGCTCAAGGGGGTCAGATCACAAGGGCTTGGCCTCAGCTTGTATGCTGTGCCCCTTTCCTGAGTATGTGCCCTTAATTTCTGGGGGCTAGAACAGTCATCCAGAGTTTCCAGGATTTGACTAGGGTGGATAATGGACATCCAGATCTGAAACATGAGGTAAATCCGACAGACGTTTGGATGTTACTTGGACAAGTGGATAAGGCTAATCTGGATGAAGTCTGGACTAGAAACTAACAGGGGATAGACTACCCTAAGGTAGAGCTGGAGATGTAGTCTAGGATGCAATCCTAAGACTTGGAATGTGACAAGAGACTTGGCTCAAGTCCAGAGGACACAGGAATGAGCAGGAACTAAGATGATATTCAAACTGAAGTATTTCTGAGAGTTACAGGAGGTCTATATACTGTAGGTATCATATAGGAATCAGTCAGCAGACACAAAGGCTATGTATGAAGCATATGCAAAGTCTATTAGTAAGTAGGATGGATCACAAATAATGCATATCGGAAATGAAATGTATGTAATGGATCAATAATCAAAAGGGAAACATAGTTAATTGGAGTCCAGAGACAGGGGAAGTCTAAATGGGGTTAGGCACTGATATAGAGTTTGGATTCTGGAAGGGAGATAAAGATAGATCAGATCATTGGAGATCTGGATCTTGGATCCGGATGTCTGGAGAAGCGGATTTAGAGTTGAGGGTCCAGAATGGCATATGACAGGAATGCTTGACTTTAAGAGTGGTGAGTTCTTTGTGAAGGGATTTGGCTTCATCTGTGTGTGTCAGGAGGGTGGTGGTGAGGGTTGAGATGGAGGCATTGCATTCTCTTATGTTGGATTCAAGGTGGGAGACATTTTTGTTGGTGAAGGTGAGTTTGGTGGTTAGGGATGTCAATTCAATGTGGGTTTCGTGCTATGATATGTTAGTAAGTGAGATCAATTGGAGAGGGGGACAGCATACCTCTTTGGTGGCTTGTTGGAGCTCTGATTGGAGCTCAATGCATTGGTTTTCATCTTCACTCAATGTCCTGCATGATTTGGGAATCATGCATGGACATGACTACTAGGTAGCCCCCCTAAAAGACAAAGTCTGTTAGCTTAGGCATCAGGCTAGTCAACCCATACCTTGGTTTCAAACCTTGGTCATATAGTTCAGTTTCCCCTCTGTGATTCATGAATTTATTATATCTTGAAGAAAAGTCATTTGTGAGATGGGAATCACATAATGACCTAGTTAATATTGTGAAGCAAGAAGGTTAAGGTATTGCCTTGCCTTTGGCTTATTCACTTTGGCTAGAGAAAACCATAGAGAAAAGTTCAAAGCCTAACAAAAACCTATCTAAAAAGCCTGTGTTTTGTGTCTTGTTATTGTATTATTATTTCTGAGTTGTTTTCTCTAGTATTTCCTTGATTTATTTTTCTATTGGGATGCTCTGACCTATCAGATACTTCACAAAATTGTACCTACAGGGTATGATGTCATAATGATGTCATATGGCTCCACAGATACTCCTGCAAGTATTCTGTTAAAAGTTATGATGTCATGATGATGTCATTTGTTCTGGAATGTTCTGCTCCACAATGACTCACCTCTGATGTCATTACTCCACCTATGGAATATTCTGGAATGTTCTGCTCCACTTCTGATGTCATTGCTCCGCTTTTTTACTTACATAATATTCCCACACAAAATGTATATAAGGAGGGCCTATTCTCCCCCCAAAAAATAGGATCTCCCACTTGCAATCATTTGAATCTCAGTTTGAGCTACTTACTGTGAAGATTGTTGCTTACAAAGAAAGCCCCTTTGAAGTACCAAGTGCAGGGAAAAGACATTCCCTTGAGATTACATAAGTTTCTTATGATAGAAACTTAGTTTATTTGAGACCAGCTTCTCACCTAGTTTCTGATATTGACCAACACAAGCTTTGGTCAATCTGTTCATTTGTGAGACCCACTTCTCACCTAGTTTACTGAAATTGACCAACACAAGCTTTGGTCAATCTGATCATTTGTGAGACCAGTTTCTTACCACTTTGTGCCTATTTGACCAACCAGTCTTTGGTCAATGTATTTGTATTTGAGACTGTAGTCTCTACAGAGGATTATCTTAATAAGGAACTATGTTCCAGTGTCTAGATGGTTTATCCTAGACAAGTTTATAAGTTGGGATATAACACAAAAGCTCTGGCTAAGTTAATCACATAGATTGGTTTAGCAAGCCTCCCAAGAACTCACACATTATCTACCATGAAAGAAGAAAAGTTGTAGACCATGTTAATCGAGGACTGGCAAGAAGTCTTATCCTAGTGTAATTGTGGTGTCATTACATTTTACACACATTTATATAAGACCCTTGGTTATTAAGACATCGATTCTTCTTCCATGTTAAGGAGCTTGGTTTTGAGGGTCTCATTGTCATTCTGGAGATCTTCAATGGTGTTGCAGAGTTCTGCAGATTCTTGGTGGGCTGTGTTGAGGTCCTGGTTGGTGGTTTCGATGGCAGTAGCATGTTCCAAGTTGACATGCTCCAACTCTGAAGAAATACTTTGGACAACATCAGCAAGGGTGTTCTTGTCTGTCTGGAGAGCCTTGTGAGCATTGACCATTCACATTTGCTCTTCTGCCCATGTGTGTTCAATGGTCAAATGCCTCTCTTGTTCCTCCTTGTTTGCTGAGATGAGAGCTTCCTCAGCCATCAAAGACTGCACAGAATTAGTTGTGAGGTAATCCATCTGTTCTCTAGCCTCCTGAATCCTATCACACAACACACATTCTGCATCATACCAGCTCTTGATCTCCTTGTGCAGTTTGTCAAGCTCTGTGTCTTCCTCACAGAGTTGATTGCATAGGTGAGAGATATCCACATTGTCTTCTTGTCATGCTCGAGCTGTGATATCTGGCAATGGAGCATATGAAGGGTTTTACCGCTTGCCTCGTCCATGATGCTGCACTAGAGGCTTTCTTGTTGAGAGGTGTCAACTTCTTCTTTGAGGTTGCAACACATGCGCTCAAGTTCACCTACCTTCTTCTTCCAGCTGCATAAGATGTTCCTGCTCTTTTCTTTTTCCTTCTTGGTGACTTCTGTGCATTGGGTGAGCTTGAACAAGTTCATCTCTAGCTCCCAAGTCAATCTTGTACTGCACAGAGTTCTTGTGAGAGAGCTAGTTGGGTATGAAGGTTCCAGATGATGTCTTCCTCCTTGGAAGTGTTACAGTGCCCTACTCTTTTTTCCATCATCACTATGGACACCTTATGACTGTACTCTTGACACTTCCTTTTCACTGTGCTGTTTCCTCATGGTCTTCCTTATCTCTGACTCATACCTTTGTTTTCCCATGAACCTTCCTTTCTTAGTACTTGTTACCCTTCGCCCAGCATGGTCTGTGCATGATCCCATTATGTATATAAACCCTAGTTACTACTTGTATTTTTCCTAACTTGAATCTACTCAGTTATCTTTCATACTTGAACTCTAGCTCCTTGGGAAGGAGGTTAGCCATTGTCCCATTTGAACTCTAGATCCTGCAGGAGTCTAGACAATCATTCCTGAGGGAGGTATTGACTCGATAAGGCTTAGTCCTTGATCGACCCTGATCCTTGATTCCTTTATTGGAATGATGCTCTATCCAAGTTCATAACAGGAAGCTGTGCAGGAGTGCATTGGTTGGGGAGGGGTAGGGGGGATCATTGTTCCTGGGATGTAGTAGGTTGTTGTGTTTGTGTGGAATGGGTCTGGTGGCTCTGCAACAAGCATGAGTGAAGTGTTTGAAGTGTTGTTGATGTCTGCCTCTGGTGTGTGTTTTCTGAGCGTTGTTTGGAATACTGTGTCGCTGAGTGCATGGGAGCAATGGGTTTGTGGGGGAGGGGAAGTGGGTGGGATGCTTATTTCAGCTGAAAAGGTAGAGCTTGTGGGAGATGAGGCAAAGGGAGGGTCAATGGGTACTTCTAGGTGGCCTCTGAAGGGAGTTGAGGTGTCTTGAGGGGAACCTTCTGGGATTTTGATGGCTGTGTCCAGCATTGGTGTTTTGAGTCCTTGTGGTATTTCATTTCTAGGACTCAAGTTGAATAAATTGGAAGTATCTGCTTCTGCAAATACCTCCATTGCAGAAGGATGAGTGACTTGTTGTGAAGAAGTAATTGGTACTAGGCAGTTAGCAACTAGCACTACTTATCCTAACAGGCGTGAGTTAATTGATTGGCCTGAGAGGATTGCTATTGAAGCACTTCCTTCAATTATGTGCAAGGGAAGTAAGTGAGCAAAGGAGTTATAACCTATATTGGCCTAAGAAACTAGAACACGAACCATATGCATACCTTTGAATTTCTATGCCAAAGAATCAACTGTGAGTGTGGACAAAATTGACCAATGTTAGTATCACAAGAGCGGGATGAACCATTGGAAGATACATGTGAGTATATTGGATGTCAGATGCCAGTGCAGCAGATGTAATGCGCACAAAATCAACTGTGCTCTAGGGAGTGGCCAGTCACAAGGGATATAGTGCGAGTGAAGAACTGCGCTAAACTACTGGTTGCGGGTTGGGTATTCTTGCAAGAGCTTAAGGGTAAGATCCTAGCAGTATGGAACTTCAGAGCAGTCGAATTGTGCAGGATTGTCAAGAAAGAGCAAAATAGATGGATTGTGCAAGGTCTACAGAAATAATGTGAGAATGACTCTCCTATAGAGCTGAGTCTGGGGGAAAGGAAACTACTCAATTGTATGTACTGCAGTCATTTATATCATAGTGCATGAATGTCTGGAATGCATAGGCAAGAATTGTAGTGTAGTTAGCGAGCACACAATGAGTCTATAGGTAATAAGACATCATGCACTGCAGAACATGAGTAGATGTGTAATAAGACCTGCAGCTCATTTAGCAATGGCATTTGGGAAAAATAATGCACCAGCAGAGATAGGTGGACATGGATAGGACATGGGAGGGCAGATTTCTAGGACTGTACTGGAGTAAGAGTGGATGGGTCGATATATATGGATTTAATGATCTGCGCTTTATCTCCTTTCCTGAAGGTGAGAAGAACCATACTATTGATCATACATGCCTAGCACTGGTATGATCGTCACATCGTGCTAGATGCTGAAGGTTCAACAACTCTGCTAGGCTTGCAGAGCTATAGAAAGAAAGAGGGCTCTGACTCTGGGGGAAGAGAAAGGCCACTGACTCTCTAGGTGTTGGTCAAAGTGTGCCAAGCGATGTGTTCAACCCTTAAGGGAAGCAAAGAAAGCAAGGATCCACAAAGTGACACCAGGTCAACTCTGGTGAAGCACACTGGGAGTGCACATGTGGGAATGTCAAGCACATAAGAGCACAAAGTGTGGGAATAAGGCGCATGCTGTGCGTGGATGTATAATAGACTGGTAGATGTCATGAGGACGTGTGCTGAGGCTGCTGAGTGGAGACTGATGATAGACTGCTGCTGGGGACTAGGGTGATGACTCTGATAGATGCTAACTCATGGTGATGGATTCTGACTCTAGATGACTACTGACATGATGGTGGTTCCTCTATTCTTGATCATGGTGGTTGATGTATTCTAGATGGTGTATGAAAACTTTCCTAGGCCACAGGTAAGCTGTGCCTAGGCACACTCCCAGGGCTTGGAAGTGAACAGGGAGTGCTCTATGTATGTAAATGATGTAAAGTAAGGGTCCATAATGAAATAATATATTGTACGATGCTAGAAATGGTCTGATAATGAAATTAAATGGAAAGGGACACACTAGGGGACTGGTTAGACGATGGATGAAGGCTCCAGGATGCTGTGCGACAAAGTGCGACTGAGTGTGGGAAGAGCGTGCTAAGCGCATGCATGGGAATGCGTCACATAGTGCAGGAAAGCATCGCGCCTCTGGTGCATTTCACAGGAAAGTCATAGATAGTGAGTTGCACACTATACTGATCATTGTGAGTTGAAATATGGGCGATCTATGCCTGGAGGAATCTCATTCCTTACAATGCTCTGTGAAAAAAATTGGAGATGATTCAGATGAGGAAGCTGAAGCATCTGGACTGATGACTTTGTAGTTATCTCAAGAAAAGAAACAGATGTTTTGACCAGTTCCTGGTGTCTTTGGATCATGGAGAATTGACCTGATGCTGCCTTTGAGTGAGTGATGAGATGAATCTTGAACTGTGTCAGATGAACTTCCTTGAGCAAGAGACACTTGTGAACCTGTTCAAATGGTCAGAATACAAACCAATGCAATAAAAAACACTGACTGACTCATTAGCATGCCCACACCTTCATGCGCAGGAACATGTCACCATCAATATGCTTGATGACCACAAACTTGTCTTGGTGCTCTGGATCATGGGCCAAAACAGCTCCTTGAATGAAGGACTTGAGAGGTACAAAAATTGAATCTCCTCTGGGAACAGCTTTGACCCGAGTGAGCCTTAAATCTCTGTTGATTCTGCAAGAGCCACCAGGAATGCTGGCAGTGTATGGTTGAATGAGTGCAAGTTGGAAGGTGCTGACATCTGTAACTTCACATTTAAACATTAGTATAATCTTAACAAAGATGGTTCTTGCTGCAGTAAGCTGTATGAGTGTGCAATTGAAGTGCAGAGAACCATGGAAAGAAGGATTGGACCAGAGGTGGTCTGTTGACTGTTTCCAGTTGATGGTACTCTCATAGTTGAGCTTGAGGTAGCGGTATTCATGAATCTGAGTAATATGCCAGTTAGCATGAAATGACAAGATAATCAATCAGTAATATACCTGGAAATCAACCAGAATAGTGGTCCATCTTGTCAACTGGTATCCATACATAGGCAATGACATGTTGACGAAATCAGAAAACTTCCTGCAAAAGCCTTGAAATGCTGTATCCTGAGCACTGAGCCTGTTCTTGATGTCCTGAATAGTATCACAGCTTTGAGGGGAGCTGAGCTTGAAATGTCCATTATAATTGATGTGATTGTGGTCCTCATCATCAAGCCCAGCATCACCTAAGGCTTGCAGGCAGTGCTGTTCGTCAAGGGTATCAACATGTCCTCACAAAAGCAGGGCTGCACATTTATAATGATCAATGCAAAGGATCTACAAGTATATACAAGCTGTTAGCAACAAGATAACATGACAAAACGAGTGTGCATACCTGTTTAGCAACATCCTTTCCATTCAATCAAGAAAGATAGGCTGATTTCAGCAGGCCATGAAGCTTCTCATTTGGGCATGTGCTGAAGTTACATGCCACACCTTTCAATTTGATGTCCCATCATGCATGTTTCCAAAGATGTGTCTTTGGAAAGTTCCAGTCTGTCTTGATGTCCTCAATGGAGGATGATGTGGTGGCATATTCAACATAAGCCTATTAGTATTGTATCAGTACCAATGACAATTCAACAAAAAGAAAGAGAAGATTACCTTGAGTGTGATATCATAGACCAGGAATTCAGCATCTATCATTGCAAGTGTCCACTCTGTATGCACATCAAGCCGAATTAAACTATCTAAGTGCAGGTAACTGCAAATGACCCGAAGAAGGTGGTAGCCTTCTGAACTGACTTGGCATTTTAAAACACTGAGCACCACATAAAATGCTTGCTTTGCAATAATCAGCCAAGAAAACTCAACATCAATGGGTGTGTATGTACATACCTTGACCAAGTCCTGCCTCTTGTTGCCATCACTGAAGGTGATATGGATGACAGTGGTGAAATGGGTGAGAGCACTGTAGAGACTTGCACCTCTGTATGCCTGTAGAGCCCTATATTGCGATGTATCTGCATACAGTTCACAGCACAAACTTGTGGCATCATTCCCTATATCATTCCTTCACTCAGCCTATACATGTGTGATCTTCCCATGCATCATGCAACATGTGCGCTACTCTCCTGCAACACATTCCCACATGCATCCCACATGCTTTCCCACGCTTCATCGCCCATCATCCAGGAGCATCCATCCATTGTCCAGCAAGTCCTACTGGTACATTTTCACATTTACTCTTATCATGACACCATATTCCATCATGGACCCTTACATATACCTTCTTCATTCCTGCGCCTTACTCACGTTGGCTCTGCATTGTGGGAACGCACTTAGTTGCCTTTTGCATGATAGTATTCGCATTTTTATGAGTGAGTTAGCTACCACTTAGTTTCCAGTTAGTATCCCTTAGCATCACTCAGCATAGTGCATGCATTTTTGGAGCCATAGTCAGTAGCATTTTGGCAATCACACTCTATCATCATCACATTTGTCGTCCTCATGCCCATCAGTATCAGTCATCACTGTCATATCCCACAATCTGGACCCATGTTCCATCATATTCCCACGCCTTCCGAGCCTATGTCCAGACCCCATATCCAACTCATTCCCAGATCCCCTTCCGCTGTGTACTCCACACCTCAGCAGGATCAACTACGCTCCAGATTTACCCCTGAGCTCTGGACCTCCAGATCCTCACTGCTAGCCTGATCCATACAACCCTATCCTGTCCACCCTATGCGCACTCCATCCAGCAAGACATCTGGACTTCACCTTGTCTCAGATTCTGGACTATATCCACCTTCTTGTATTCTGGTCCTGTATCCACCTTGTCTTCTGGATCCCCAGATCTCCAGACCTATTCCCACCCTCTGTCCAATATCCTGCACCTATCCCCATTTAGGCATTCTCTGCTTTCTGGCTTTCGGTTACCTCTTCTTCCATCTTGCTTATTGATCCTTGTATGAGTCTTCATCTCCGAGTTCATTTACTTATGTTCTGTCTTACTTACTAATGTGTTTCCACATGCTCGTACATAGCCTTGCTCCTTTGCTTACTGATCCCCTCAGATATTGTTCAGTATATAACCCCTGTAGATACTCCTGTAGTTCCTTAGTTTGAATATCAACTTAGACTTGCCCAATCCTCTCTCAGACTTTGGTCCACCTAAGTCTGTCCTACCCATCAGGCCTAGGGATTGATTCCCTAGGCTGGAGCTCCGCCTTTCCGGCACTTACCCTCTTTCCAGACTTAGGTCCAATCCCTGTCTCTCCAACTCTACCTTAGGGTAGCCTACCTCTGTTTGCTTCTACATCAGACTTCGTCTGATGTAGCCCCTATTCCTTCCAGACCTCCGGACCTCCTGTCCCTCATACCTCCAGGCATCCTGTCCTTCAGACATTCTGTCCTCCTAACCCTCATACATCCTATCCTCCTGTCCTCCAGTCCTCTGGACCTTTGGACCTCCTATCCTTCCATCCTGTTTCCTGTAGAAGTATTACCTTGCAGTGGGAACTCTCCCGTACTCCTCCAGAAGTCCTCTAGCGCTCTCCAGCAGAGTAGCCAGCCTCTGGAAGTCCTCTGGACTTTGTCAGACCATCATCAGACCTCATATGAAATGAAGGGCACATACTCAGGTAAGGGGCACAGCATACGAGCTGAGGCCAAGCCCCTCTGAGTCAGTCTCTCTCCCCCTTGAGCAACATGGTTCTTAACAATCACCTTCCCTTAGTCCCCATCACATTCCTAGCCCTTTGCGCACTTTTGCCTATTAGTGCATGACTTTCCTGCACTTTGCGCATCCTACCACTCTCTGTGCATGCCTTTGCCTCTGCGCGCATGACTTTCCCACGCTTTGTGCGACCTGTGGATGTGTTGCACTTGCTTCCCCTTGGGTTGAATGCACTTGCCTTTGCAAAGTATAGCAGCCTAGGCAGAGCTGAGATGACCACACATATACTCTGACTTGGCATCCCTTGTAGTGCCATAGCTTAGTAGTTGATTCCTTCAGCGTGCCATCGAGGGAACTCAGTGATCCTGGGTGCGAGGGCTTCAGTGATGTCAATCATAGTAAAAAAGACTTACTGTTTCTCAAATTTGTCCTCAGCCTCGCATCCAAGATCAGTGAGGATCATCTTCAATTCTCCAAGTAGATGTACCCCCCCCCTGTACCACCATGCACAGTATGTAAGTTGTCCAGGCTTAATGCCTCATGAGGGTCAGAATTCTCAATGAGCCACAGGACATTCTGAAAATATATTAGTTGAGAAGATTAGAAGAAAAATTGACTTACTGTGACTGGATGCAATCCTAGCCCTTTCAAAACTTCCTCTCCTTGAGTTCAGTTGCATTTATAAACATCAAGCATGGCCTGCACATCTTTCACAGACCTGATCGGAAATGTCTTGGACAGGTTGTGGAGCTCATTGAGAGGGACAAGACAGACTGGACATGAGCACTTGCATTGTACACCACATATGAGAGACATCATGCATCTAATCATCAAGGAAAGTGAGGCTCTGTGTATATCAACAGATGGTGCACCTACTGTTCCTCATAATCTCCAGGAAGGATCAGTATGACAGGAAATAACTAGCATAAGATATTATTGTAGCATGAATATGAATACCCAGTCTTCAAGTACTGGTCAAGGTTAACAAGAAGCTTGACAAATGACTTGTGCCATACAACACATTTCAGGGTAGTGTATCTGAGTTTCCCCTCTTTGGATGTGTCTTTGGGAACCTGCAGTTATAGTAGCCATGTCAGAACCAATTCAGAGTATGTACAAAGTGAATGGGACTCACAATTGGTAACCACCTGACTACCCAACCACTGCCAATCCCCTTGCTATTTTGAATCTTGACAGGTAGATTTGTGCAACACACCACAACTGGGTGCCCTTTAACAGTGCCATGCGAAGAGAGCCTAGTCTTGTCAGCATACAATATAAAGCAAAAGGGGGCGGCTTTCAGATCTGGCAGGAGACGAGACTGATAACATGAACATAGTTACTATACATACATACACATGAGTATCAAACGTAGTGACATACTTGAATATCCCACCACTGGTCACCTGTCCATGGTTCATTGAAGAAGCATTCAAAGTTCATACCATCATGTTTGTAGACACATTGCACATCCCAAACAAAATGTGGTGCTAGCAGTGGGTTATCCAACAGATCAAGGGCCCAGTCCCATAAGGGACACACATGCACCTTATAGACCCATTCCTCCTTCTTGTATGGAACCTTGACTTTATGTTTTGAAAACTAGTATACAAGAATCTAGATAGTTAGAGATGAATATCTTGAGAAAAAAAGGAAAGACATACCGGTGTCAGCTCAGCTGCAGCATTGTCTAATGCCTTGTGCAGATTGGCCTTGTTTTTCAGTGTGATTTGAGCCTGACCCTGTGATATGCGAGCCATGAAACTGAGCAACTGGTCAACTTGATTCTTGTTGAGAGCAGGGTCAAGAGCAATTTCAGAAAATTCAAAATCTCCATGTGATTGGAATGGATGCCACGGTTCTTCCTCTGCAGGAAGTGTTTGCATCTCAGGAGTGACACTGAACTCCTCAAAGCGTTAGTAGAGTGTTTCACGACCACTGTGAGGGTGAAATTTGGTTTTGAATTCATAAGGTTGTTTGACAGGCACAGGCTGAGGTAGGAGGTTATTGGCCATACTAGCATCAGATAAGACTATCGCATAAACAATTGTTAGTTGGTTGATGAATGAGAAGATGTAAGTACATACCTGAGCTTGGAACGCCCTGATCTCCAGGGTCAAAGTCCATGGTGTTGCAACTATCTGATGAAGGACTAGCTATAGTAGGTACAGCTGAAAGATCATTGAAGTGTCAGAGTGTCATATCCTGTATGCCAGACATAGATCCCATCATATTCCCACGCTTTCCGGACCTATTTCCGGACCCCATATCCAACTCATTCCTGGATCCCCTATCCTGTCCACCCTATGCACGTTCCATCCAGCAAGACATCCAGACTTTACCTCCTCTCGGATTCTGGACTACATCCACCACCTCACATATCTCAGTCCTGTTTCTACCCTGCCTTCTGGATCCCCAGATCTCCAGACCTCTGGATATTAACTGTTACTATCTCTGGACCTATTCCCACCCTCTGCCCGAGATCCTGCACCTATTCCTATTTAGGCATCTCTGCCTTTCCAGTTCTTGATTATCTCTGTTTCTGTCTTGCTGATTGATCCTTGTACTAGTCTTTATCTCTGAGTTCATTTACTTATGTTCCATTTTACTTATCAATGTGTTTCCACATGCTTGTACATAGCCTTACTCCATCACTTACTGATCCTCTTGGATGTCCTCTAGTATATAACCCCTGTACAACTCCTGTAGAGTCCTCAGTCTGAATATAATCTTAGATCCTGTTCTACTTGCCAATCTTCTTCTGGACTTCAGTCCATCTGAGTTTGTCCTTTTCCATAAGGCCTAGGAATGGATTCCCTAGGCTGGAATTCTGGACCCTCAGATTTGTCCCCTATGTCTCTGTGCCAAGTCTAGGGATTGCTTCCCTAGGCTGGAGTCTTACCTTTCTGGCACTTACCCTCTTTCTGGACTTTGGTCCACTTCCTGTCTCTCCAACTCTACCTAAGGGTAGTCTACCTCTATTTGCTTCTACATCAGACTTCATCTGATGTAGCCCCTATTCCTTCTGGACCTCCAGACATCCTGTCCTGTGCACCTCTAGGCATCCTGTCCTTTGGATGTTCTGCCCTCCATACCTTTGGACGTCCCATCCTCCTAACCCTTGGACCTCCTGTCCTCCATACTTCCGGACCTCTGGACATCCTGTCCTCCTGTCCTCTGGACCTCCTATCCTTCCATCCTGTTTCCTGTAGAAATATTACCTTGCAGTGGGAACTCTCCTGAGCACTTCCTGCATTCCTCCGGAACTCTCCCATGCTCCTCCAGAAGTCCTCTAGCACTCTCTACCAGAGTAGCCAGCCTCCAGAAGTCCTTCAGACTTCGATGGACTATCATCAGACTTCCTCTGAAATGAAGGGCACATACTCAGGTAAGGGGCACAGCATATGAGCTGAGGCTAAGCCCCTCTGAGTCAGTCTCTCTCTCCCTTGAGCATGGTTCTTAACACAGAGCAGCATATCAAACTGGACCAAATGATAATGCACCTTGTCCTGGGGCTGGGGACCCAGGGTCATCCTCAACTGTGTGTGATAGGCCTGCAACTGCCATCAGGGCTGCTGCGCCTTGTTGAGCCAGATGACAGGCTATTTCAATGTCAATAGTTAGTATTGTAGCTGATAATAGAACAAAACTGAAAACAACTCACCTGTTCATTGGTCTCTATCAAACTCTCTATTGAAATTCTCTTTTCCCTGTGCATTATGCATCTTGCACATTGATTCATGCCATTTGTAGCCCTGTGCTTTGAACATGTTGCTGCAGTGGGGGCATTTTGACCCAGTAGTCAGTGTTTTCTCAGTATAGTTGTATTTACTTTGGCTTGAACAATTTGGCGCCATGTAGTTGACAGTATGGACAACATAGTTTGTATATGCATGTACAGAGAAGAGAGTTACTTGCGACCTTATGTGACAACGACTTGACAAGGCTAATAAGGTCACATGCTGGACTTGTAAGCCAGCAGCATTGTAGTGCCTGTCAAGGCCTTATGACGTTTCAATGTCCTTAAAATGGTACTTACAAGACCCCTTATAATACATGTGATCAGTCTTCTCAGCTGGCAGTATTATAAAGCTTGTTTACCTTTTTCTGACACAGTTCTCAAGATCTTAAGGATCAGATTGCCATCTAGGAGCTCGAGTGGAGAAGCATATTCCACACGCCTCAAGAGCAAGTCACCATGCCTTGAGTAGGATACTTTGGTGTAGTTTACCACAATAAAATGCACAACAACTTCTTTGCTGTCAAACTTCATCACAAAGCTTGGTTTCAAGAAAATAGGCCATTTAGGGGTTTGAAGGACATCAGGGAACTGGAAATTGCAGCTCCATCCAGTCATCTGGGTCCATTTGGATCTGTCTGACATCATATTGCAACCACTACAGGGTCTGCAATATTTAAGACAGGTTTGAATGTCATGTGAAATGTTACAGCCATTTGCAGAATGCTAGGCCAAATTTTTTTCACTACATACATTTGGCAATAAGTCAGGACAACAAACTTTTAACTTCTGATGGACAATCTTGATCTATAACTCAGATGGGATGATACATATCTAAGGAATGAAAGCAAGTTGCTCTACAAATGAGCTTGCTAAATGTCAAAGACCCAATGATTCATTGTTATACTGGGATTAGTGAGTGGTCATTGCAATATCTTCAGAAGGCATATCAGGAGACTGGCAAAGTTGTGAGGACACTGGTTTGTGCAGGTCGACCCTGCATCCTCAATAGTCTTGATGCAAATGTGAGTTACATACAATGACTATCACAATTGTACTTCAATAAGACTAAGGTGCCAGCTCCTCAAGTTCATGGTCAACGGATTTTCTACTTCTCAGTTGATAATGTGTTGTTTGTGGGTGGCCAAAGGGTAATAAATTACTTCTTTGCTAGATCACTTCTTGATAGTAAAGGGAAGTATATATTTTGTCAGGTTAACTTAAACCTAGTAGGTAATATGGACCTCTGCTGAATCAAATACAATAGACTGTTGTATAGGTGATCCCTGTAAGATAGTATACAACCAATCTAGACTAGAAGTACTATAGTTTTCAAAGGCAATCTCAAGGCCTTCACTTTCTTTGTAATCTCACACTATTGAGACAGAAAGAGGGAAAACTCCTGCACTTCAAATCTTACAAATCTCATGGTTTGAGACAAGAAAGAAGAGGGAAAAACTTGTTGATTATATGAGAGTGGAGTCCTTGTATACATATTAGAAACCATCCTTACTAAGCAATGACTCATCACTGGATTGGTAAGAATATGCTTACAAACCAAGCCTTTTGGTGTGCTGAATCAGCTGCTTACTAAAGTACATGAGTAAAATATTACAAAGCATGACAAAACATGATAAGTCATGGAAAAATCCTTACAAATCAGAATATTACCAGTCACATGACATGCTTACAAACATTTCTGAGTGGTTCACTGATGTAATCAAGTGGCTGAAACTATAAATATAAGTAAATAAATAAAGGGAAATAGATGACTAAGCTCATGAGTGAGAAATATATCCTCATACACTTTCCTAATCATCTCCTTCTATACTTCTTCTTATATATGTCATGGTATGAACTTCATACCATGCACGACAGTGTGATGTCATGAACTAAGACTGCTGAATGGTAACTGATGGCAATAGACTTGCTGCTGAGGGCTAGGGCAGTGACTAATGCATACTGGCTGAAGATAATAAATTCTGACTGCTAGACACTAAGTGACATACTGGTGGTTGGTGTATGAAAACTTTCCTAGGCAACAGGTAAGCTGTGCCTAGGTGCACTCCCTGGGCTCAGAAGCAAATAGGGAGCACTCTATGTATGTAAATGAGGTAAAGAAAGGGTCCATGATGAAATAATATATGGTACAATGCTAAATATGGTCTGATAGCAAGAATAAATGAAAAGGGACTCACTAGGGGACTGGTTGGACAATGGATGGATGTGCTGGGATGCTACACAACAAAGGGTGACCAAGCATGGGAAGAGCATGCTAAGCATGTGCACATGAATACATCACATAGTGCAGGAAAGCGTCGTACCTCTGGCATGTTTTGTGGGAAAGTCATAGAGGGTGAGTGATGCACTGTACCAATTGTCATGAGTTGAAATATGCACAATATATGCCTAGAGGAATCTCATTCTCTACACTGTACTAGGACCCCTCCTGGCAACTTGTCGTTGATCCAATGCACTGCATATTGGAAGGCTTGGTCTAACACCACACCTGAAATCTTCTCAGTCTAACCTCAGAGTCAATCACATCGACATTATCCTCCATGGCATTTGTGTGTGATTTTGGTGAAATTCTTCCTGGGATAATGATGGCCAAGGAGTTAACTCAGATATCTGTGATTTGCTCCCTCCTTGTATCTCATATAGATTCTGACAATGATAAGCAAGTGGAGGAATGTTTTGACAAGCTGAAAAGCTCTCTGTCTCACAAAAATTCAGGACCATTGAGGTTTGCCTGCAATTCTTTGCATTGTATGCCCCAGAAAGTTGGCAGAACACTGAAGATTGACTATGTGAAGGCTCTTGTTAATTGGGTAAGCTCTTCACTGTGATGTTTCTTGCCTTCAGTTTTTTAACACATACTTCACAGCATTGTGGACAACCTTTAGCTGCCCCTCAAAAAGTTCATTTGTTCGAGACAGCAGAAGTACTTGAACAAATCCATAACATCATCCATGACACAACCACCCCAACTTGGCTTGGTTCAGTCCCCAAGAATTTTGGCAAGGGATCTGCTGGGACAATTAAGGCTAATGAGTGGTGATCCTTTATCATGATCTACCTTCCCATCGCCCTCATGAGCTTGTGGGGAGCTGGTACCTTGCATTCATCTGATGAACTTGCTATTTGTCTCAGAACTATCCTTGATCACACTATGTCATTAGTCTGTGCAAGAACAATGATGGCAAGAAGGGCTCAAGCCTATCACTCACATATCACTGCTTATGTCAGGAAGTTACAGAAAATTCATCCTGCATTCTCTCTGCAACCAAATCACCATGCATCTTTCCACATATATGACTATCTATTGCTATTTGGGCCCACCCACTTGTGGTGGTGTTTTCCTTTTGAATGTCTGATTGGAATCATATAACACATGTAAGGCTCAGTGTGAGTTTGGTAGGGAATTGCAAGCAAAAATGATTTCTGAAGCGAGACAAGTTGGATAGTTTTTGAGATGAGTTGGGAACAGCCATGATAGAGACTTTCTGAGGGACTTTTTGGTCATACTTGGAGTGGGGATCTGACTCTAAGATTCGCTGTAGGTAGGAGAGTACATGAGCAGTATATATATGTTTTTGAATACTTGACTAGGCTGGAATGAGAACATGAAGTGTATGGCAAGGTGAAAATAGTTTGGTGAAACAAGGAGATGGTGAGGTCTAAGCACAAGGTAAAGTAATGAAAGAAAATGGAAAAAGGGAGATGAAGGAATGTATCCACGTAAGTCGGATATGAAGCATTTGAGCCTATTTGTATCAATGAGTCACATGGATGGGTGTTGCCATTTTGATGTAAAGGTAAGGTCTGTGCATAAAGGATTGTGGATCCTTACATCACCCCCTTACTTGAATATCAACTGCCCTCAGTCAATCTTCCAATGAATAACTAAAAGATCTCTCTATCATATTCTGAACAAAATGGAACTGGTCAAAGAGGAAAGGAAAAATAGAAAACACATCTAGTCTTTTTCTAACTCAGCATCCACGAATGTTTGAGGGTTGATATACTGTGTGACTTCAAGAGAAGTCGGAGAATGAGGGTGATATGGTATGAGATGGAACGCTGCGAATTTGAGGTGTGAGATTGAGCCATCTACTTCCACAAGTTGGTAAGAACCTCCTTTTGATCTTGAAACAACAACCATTGGGCCAAAATAATGGGGCTTGCACTTAGCATTCGAGGCTGCCTTGATTTTCTTGTTAAGGATGAGAATGAGAGCTCCTGGTGCAAAATTATAGTCGACTATAGCACTGGAGGCTCGTCATTCAAAATCTTTGGCTGAAGCTAAATGGCTTTTGAGGAGTCGCTCATGTGCTAAGGTGAGATCATCATCTCATTTGGTAAGTTGGCATGCATGGATGGCTATAAGGTCATTGGTTGAGAGGATAGAGGAGATTTTGGGGAGCATGAAGGTAGCATCGACAAAATCAAAGGGAAGAAGGGGTTCTACTCCATGGGCTAAGTAAAATGGTGAGTACCCAGTTGACTTTCAAGTAGTGATGTGATCAACCCAGAAAACATGATGGACCATCTCTGGCCATTGGATGATATCACCTTCACATGTTTTGATAAGTGAGTCTCAGATAGTGCGATGCTGTTGTTCTATGACACCATTTGTGAGGGAGTTATATGCTGAGATTCAGATATGATGAATGCCATATTTCTTCTTCAGCCATTCTACTGTGGCTATGAAGGGTGAGCCGTTATCAGTAACTATTTTGTCTAATCCTCCCCATCTACACAGTATGTCCTCGAAAATAAATGCTCCCAGGGTTCGAGCCATTTTGGTTTTCAGCATCCTCCATTCAGGCCAAGCTGAGAGGGAACAGTGTGCCTGGACAATATGGTCATAGCCATGGGATCTGGGCATGAACATTGTGTTGATGTATGCCTTGTGAAATAACAGTGCAGGAATGGCAACAGTAGGTGGGAGTACAACTTTGGCAATAGATCTTGTCTGACACTGATGACATGTTTTTAGGTACCATGCTAAGTCCTTGTCAAGTGTTGGCCACCAAAACTGATCAGCAATCATGCATCGAGTGGAGTAGAGGCCTTTGTGACCAAGCTGGTCATGAGCTTCTTGTAGGATGTGTATGCAATCTGCTCCAAACATGACTAACTGATGGCGTCCTTTAGGTGCTTTTCACCATAGCCGTTTTCCTTGTGCAAAACCTGGTGTGCCTGCTTAACAAGGCGAGACCGATCTTGGCCAGATATGGTTGAGGGGAAGGACAGAGTATTGAGATAGGTTTGAATGGTGTATAGATTGTTATCAAGGTGGGAGGAGGTGGTACTTGGAGGGATTTCATCATCTGGTGAGTGTGGTGTGGTGGTGAAAGCTAAAGTGCTCAACATCCTTCCAGCAGACCATTCCTTATTGACTTCTTTTGCCAACCAGACTCCACACCCTAATATCTCTTTGATCCATTCCTTGATGTCTTCTGCTGTTTCATTTGGGTCATCTTCATCTCTGGGTGCCATGGGTCATTGAGACAGACCATCTGGGGCTGTGTGTCTCTTTCCAGGGACGTGTCTAAGGGTGAAGTCGAAAAGGGAGATGCCAGCTATCCAGCAATTGACAGTGGCATTGGGATGAATGTCAGGATTGTTGAGCATTCCACGAATATACTTTGCATCAACCTCTACAGTGAACCATTTAAGTCCAATCAGCCATACTTTTGCAGCTTTGAGGGCTCTTAGAAGGCCATACAATTCTATCTTTACCTGAGAGTACCTTGATTCTCGTTCATTCCAGGTGATAGACCCAAAATGCGATGGATGTCATTCCCCATTACAGATCTGTGATAGGATCCAACCGCAGGCAACATGTGATGAGTCGACAGCCAGGACCACTTTGTCTTGTGACCTGTAATTGATAGGATGGATTGCAGGGCATGAGACAACAGCATTTTTGAGGGCATCCATAGCCTGTTGTGTGGCTGAGTCCCAGATAAAAGGGACATTGAGGCGGGTAAGGTTTGTTAAGGGTCTGGCGATATGGGTGTATTCTTCAATCCAGTTATGCACTGTTCCAGCTGTACCTAGGAATCTGTGGACTTCGGTCCAGGATGAACATGGTGGCCAATTCTTGATCTTGGCGATTTTTGAGATATCAGGGCTTTGTCCTTCATATGTGCAGAGTTGACTGACTACAAGAACTTCGGGGACACACAAGAATAACTTCTTTGCTGATACTGTTGCTCCAGCATGCTTGAGTCTGTGAAGAACACGATTAGCGTCTACAGTGTTCCCAGACAAATCTGCAAATGCCCGTATTTTGCAGAATAACTTCGAATGAGCCATCTGCCTTCTCATATTGTGTGCATGGCCCCAAGACATTGACATCATCCTGGAAGTTCAGTGCAATCTCGATTTCTGCTTGTAAGATAAAAGCAACATCATTCTGAAAGAGCAGGGGAGTCTGTCCATCCCTGAGGTAGTATGGTGAGTCAGAAGGTGCCTAAGGGTGTTTGGAATGTGGTTAAGTCTCGTGATTCGTCTGATAGGGCTTGGTGGTCAAAACTGACAAATAGATCCATCATGGTATAAATTGAATGTCCTGGGGATTGTTTGGCAAATAGCTCAACGTATGGGAGTGTGGCGGCATCTTTCATGGTGATAGCATTCAAGGGTTGGAGATCATGGATGATGCATACTGAGCCATTTTTCTTTGCTACACAAAACCACTGAGACTGATATGAACTATTAGATGCCTCATAAACTCCTGATGCAATTTTTGACTTTATGAGTCAGATGACCTCATCATGAATTCCAGGAGGGATGGGAGGTTGACAGTGGGCCCATGGGGTATGCTCAATGGTGGGAATGACAACAGGTGGAAAATAATCATCTCAGAATCATCCTTTCTCAGTCTCATCCCAGGCCAGGGCATATTCATTGTTCATCAAAACATGAGCTGCAAGTTTGCATTCTTCTGGCCATAGGAATTTGTTCCTAAATACTCTGAGTTCATTTGTTCATTCTTGGGTGAGGTGGATTCTGGGTAGGAAATTGGGAGGATTGGGAGATAAAGAAGAAAGTGAGAAGAGTGGGTCTTCAGGGAATTGTCAGATAATATGTGCATGGGCTGGCATCGTAGTGGTGACTGGTTTGACCTTATTAGCTACTTTCTTGTAGGCAAAGGATTGACTTATATTGACGTTGAAGGTTTGCTGTAGGATGAATTCAGCATAGTTTGAGAAGGTGATACAGGATGTGGAGGGGCATGATGATGGCAGGGTAGATGTCCATCGAGTTAGTGGATAAGAGGGTTTGGTTGATATGTCCATTGAGCTCGTTGGTAGGATGGCAGGGTATATATCTGTCAAGCTTGTTGGTAGGATGGTGGGGTATATATCTGTTGAGCTTGTTGGTAGGATGGCAGGGCATGCTATGGCTTGTTGGGAGGTGATGGAGATTGCTGCTGCAGTTAGGGCTAGGGATGGGTGGGGCCAAGGATGGGGGGATGTAGCCACAGTGTGAATATTTGAACTATCAAGGGGATCCTGAATGGTGATGTAGACATTGTCCACATCTTTGTACTTGGACAAATGGATGAGCTTTTGCCAGGGGCATCCTAAAAGTAGGCAGTAGGGTGCTTCTGGGATGACATACACATGTGCCCAACTTTTGATTCCCTCTACTTCTATTTCTAACATTTCCAGACATCCAGCCATCTCCTGTGAGCTTCCATTAGCTGTCTGCATGCACATGTGGATGTTGCAGTTGATAGGTGCATTCATCTTCTTCCAAACATCTTCTTGAATAACAACTATCTCTGATCCCTCATCTAATAGTGCTAGTTCTGAATGGGTCCCATTCAAGCTTACCTGGAGTTCCCTTAGAGGAGTAGCATGCTCGACCTGGGGTGTAGGAGACTTGCAGATTGCCGTGTTGATGGAAATGGATGCCATAGTCATGGGAACACACTGTGTTCAACAGTGATCTACCACCTCCTTGCACAAGTCTGGGCTGATAGCAAGTAGATCAGCAACCATTAGGTGAGGTACAACCATGTTTAAAATATTTCTATAGATTTGCAGGGTGGCGTCAGGTGTGGTGGCTTTGGACTCATACTTGAATGCAGGTGCTTTTGAGACTTTGGGAGTTGGGGTTGTTTCTTGACATTTGAATGTCGTGGCTGGTTTAGGCACCTCTGTGGGCTGTTGACTGCTGGCTTCAGCTGCCTTGGCCCTTGAGTGTGTGATGGTGAGTGCATTGGTTTCTTCTTTGTCCTCAAGTGTGACTACCACCGCATGATTCCCTGCTACTGGTGTGCATTGGAGAAAGTATGATTCGGATATGAAGGCGGAGGAGGGGATTTCAGTGGAGGTTTGTGGTACTGCATCACATTGGGGATTGTTTACTGGTATAGCATTGGATCCAGTGGTGGGAACCAAAAGGGCAGGCAAGGCGTATCTTGTGTCAATTACCTGTTGAAACATCTTGTTCCCATATTGTTGTATTCAGGAATTATCTGGAAAGGCAAAGAACTGCCCTTCTTGGATGATTCACCCAGCCCATAAGTATTCACCAGCAGTTGAGCAAGCATGCATGACATGGGGACCTCCACAGAAGAAACATGTGGGACCTGGCTGTTGGCTAGATGTGGATGGAAGAGGTGGAAGGGGTAGGTATGACATTGGAGCTTTACTGGGTGCAGTACTGATGAGGTGATGTGGGTTGGAAGGAAGATGCGATGCTTGGGTAGGTACAGTACCAATGAAGTGATGCAATTTCAGTGAAGGCCATGCTTGAGCTGCAGTTGGCATTAAGCTGGCAAGGTGAGTATAGCAAACAGCATAGGCGGCATCTGTAATATTGAGCCCATGCATCTTTTGAGCTAGGTCATTGACTTCATCCCTGGTTGATTTAGCAGGGGCTGTTACAATCACATCTACCCCTGTCTCATTTTCTTTCTTCTCTTGTGTATTACGTCATGACCACGCATCATTGCGCCATCAGTAGACCAGTCTCTTGCTATATCTGTATTACATCACAATCGCCGCTGCCGTCGCTAGATGACTCATCCTTATCTCTGACTCGTCTTGATGACATACCCTTATCTCTGACTCGTCTTGATGACGTATACGTACCTGCCCTAAAGATAGCTACGTCTATATAAGCTCAGTCATGTACTTAGCAGATCTTCACTTTAATCTACTAGGTTCTCACCTGAAACATCCTTCGCTTAGGACCCCCAATCCTAAGTCGTCTGATACCGATATTCAAGCCAGAGACACTCTCTCTGACTTGTCTTAAGAAGCCTTACATTTGTGAGGGCTTGACTCAACCACAGATGTTACTCTTATTGAGTATCTGTTGTTGCACCCATCCTAGTTCGCCATAACAAAAGATTAAAGTCACCATCGACCCTCTCCATCCAAAGAGGTCCCGAATCCAGAACGAAGCAGAGAGAGACTATACGTCCCCTGTAAACAGAAACATCACTAGACCAGAACGATCAGGATGTCCGCTATCGCCAACACCCCAGAACTGAAAGCTGGAGCTCCTTCCACTTATGATGGAAGCCCTCAGCAGGCTCTATGATGGTTGTATGCGATTAAGGCATATTTCGCGCTTAATGCTACAATCTACAACACCGACGAGAAGAAGGTTATTACCGCTCTCGCATATATGACTGAAGACAGTGCCATGGGCTGGGCACTTACCTTCTACACCGAAGTCGATAACTCCTCCTCCAAGTCCTATGGAACTTTTGCGAACTTTGAAACCAAGTTCAAGGAAGCCTTTGTACCAGCTGATGCCGTCGGCACTGCCATGAACAAACTCCGAACTCTGAAGCAGATGGGCGATCTCACCTCCTACGTCTCTAGCTTTAAGACCCTTGCTGCACAAGCCTCCATAAAGCAAGATGCCGTCTTAATATCGTTCTTCAACGACAGGTTAAAGAAAGGGATCGTCAATTCCATCTTTCAAATGGAAACCATCCCTACAGATTTCGACAAGTATATTACCGCAGCCACTAGGCTTGACAGCAACTATCAGAGAGGTGCCGCATTTTGACAGAACCATCATACTGCCACCAGACCGACAGGACAATGTTACATACCCAGACCAACCATTGATAGACACAATCCAAATGCCATGGAGGTGGATCGGCTCACAGAAGCTGAAAGGAGTGACCATATGAAGAAGGGATTATGCTTCACATGCCACCAGAAGGGGCATATGACCAGAGCATGTCCACAGAAGAAAAAGGTCCCTGTCCGCCGAGAAGAGATAAGCAACAGCGACAAAGAAGATGAAGATACAATGATCCGTCGTCTTGCCAAGGATTTTTGATGTGGAAGACTGGATCGACGTCAGTATCTTCCAATGTACCTATCAGACTTGTACAAAGTATTGGAATCAGAAAGGAACTTCACATTCCCATTTCCCTTATCTCCAAAACTCATCTAAAAACTGTCAAAACAACAGCTGTTGTTGACTCCGGCGCTGCCGGAACCTTTATCTCCGAAGAGTTTGTCAAGACTCATGGAATTCGTACGCACAAACTATCAAAACCATTCCGAGTTACTACTGCAGATGGAAGTTATGCGAGAGGGGGCGCTATCACCCGATATTGCGTCCTCATTGTCAAAATAGATGAACGATCCATGATTGGAAAGTTTAATATCACACGGCTTGGCCGGTGTGACCAGATCTTACTCGGGATCCCTTGGCTACGTGCTATGGACCCGGTAATCTGATGGAAAGCAGAAACGCTAGAACTCCCCAAGACAGAGAAAAGTGACCAGATTGAAGAAGAAGTCGATAACAAACGAAAGAAAAACGGACTCCCTCCTCTCTTCCGAAGATCGGAAAAGATGAGTCAGAAGACGGACCCAATTCCAGTTGTAGTGCTGCCAAAGGTGCCTCCTGTAGAAATGGTTACACCATCCAGAGAACTGATGCCCCGAGCTACTATTGAAGAGATTCTTGATGAAGAAGCCCCATCAGCATTGCCTAATCTTGACCCCATCCCTGATGACGATGATGACTCTTTCGACACGAAAGATGACGTATGGACAATGAATTATGCACCACCCATACGCGAAATCTCTACTTATCATCTAGAAGATGATGAATTTTTGGTCGAATATCCCGCTGACGCCTCCGAGCTTCAGATAATCACCAATGTCTCATTGGATACCCCTTTAACCAAGGATGGTACCAGTATTGCGGAACTACAATCTACGGTTACACTCCTGTCACAGCCTACCGAATACACCAAAACCAGTAACAAAGCACAACAGTTTGCGCTAGCCACTGGGCTTGAACAGAAGAAGAAATCATTTGAAGAACTCGTTCCCTCCTACCTTCATGATTTCGCCGACATCTTTGCAAAAGACGGCCTAAACCAGCTACCGCCTGAATGGCCTGGTATAGATCACCGAATTGAAACTAAACCCGGTTTCATTCCCAAGACATCCAAGGTGTACCCATTATCAGAAGTAGAACACACTGCAGTCAAAACCTTCATTGACGAAAACGTAAAGAAAGGATTCATTTCCAAGTCAAAGTCGCCACAGGCAAGCGGTTTCTTCTTTGTAGGAAAGAAAAGCGGAGATCTTCGTCCCTGTCAAGATTACCAGTACATCAATGAATGGACGGTTAAGAATGCTTACCCACTTCCATTACCACTTTCTCTGGTCGCTCGGTTACATGGTGCTAAGTACTTCACGAAGATGGATGTCCGATTGGGGTATAACAATATCCATATTCACCCAGATGATCAATGGAAAGCCGCCTTTACCACGGAGTATGGTCTTTTCGAACCAAATGTCATGTTCTTTGGCCTTTGCAATTCCCCCACTACCTTCCAGGCGTATATGAATAGAATGTTTCAACAGGAGATTAACAAAGGATGGCTCGTCATATGCATGGATGATATTTTGATCTTCTCAAATGAACTCACTTCCCACCACGAACGAACTCGGCGCATCCTTGAAAGAATTTGACAGGAGAAACTCTTCCTCAAACCCGATAAATGCACATTTGACGCTCAAGAAGTGGAATATCTCGGAATGATCATCTGCCCTGGGTGCGTGGCAATGGAAAACACCAAAACCAATGGTATTCGGGATTGGCCTACTCCTATAACTGTGAAAGAAGTTCAGTTATTTTTGGGATTCTGCAATTTCTACCGCAATTTCATTTCCCATTATTCCGACATCACAAGACCCTTGATTGACCTTACCAAGAAAGACGTCAAATTCCTTTGCAACCGGTCCTTCGAAACCCTGATCCCAATAGACAGTTCACGGTCGCCACCAATGCATCCCTCGTCACTACGGGTGCGGTGTTGCTTCAGACCAATGACAATGAACGAAACTACCAGATTTTCGATCATGAACTCCTTGCAGTTATTCGCGCTCTGACCGAATGGCATCATTACTTGGAAGGCAACCCTCATCCTGTCATCATCTTCACAGACCATAAAAATCTATTGTATTTCAGGACGGCTCAGAAATTAACCTGCCGACAAGCCTGATGGCAATTAATCTTGTCATGTTATGATATTGAACTCCACCATGTCGCTGGAACTAAACTCATCGCCCCTGACACACTCTCTCACCACCCTGACCATGGATCGGATTCCTCAGAGGATAATATCAATGAAACCCTTCTCCCTGATTCCATGTTCGTCTGACTTCTTGATGTTGAACTCATGACCACTCTCACAAACCCTGATCCCTCTGACCCTGACCCCATCTTCACTGCCACTTCTGATGTGCTGGATGGCCTTTCCCTTCCTCCAATGAAATCTGCCCTAGCAGATTGGGCAATTAAGGACAATATTCTCTACTATAAAGACCGTGCTTATGTCCGCCCTGCCGGACAGCGCCTTATTTTAGAGCGATGCCATGATCATCCCACTGCTGGTCACCCTGGACATTTTAAAACCGAA